ATTTAACAAATCTATTTAGATTTATCATGACATTCTTTACTAGATCATTCTGTATCGTCTGTATGTAAATGCTACGATTGATTGATTGGCTTTACGTCCAGTGGCAAATATATCATATAAAAAATAAGAACGGATGTGGTATAATTGCCAACGAGACAACTCTTCACCAGAGACCAAATGACATAGAAGTTAACATCTATAGGTCACCGTACGATCTTCAACAATGAGCAAAACCCATACCACATAGTCAGCTACAAAAGGCCCCGAAATGACAAATGTAAAACAATTCAAACGAGAAAGCTAACGGCCTGATTTATGTACAAAATAATGAAAGAAAAAACAAATATGATATACAGCAACAAACGACAACCACTGAATTATAGGCTCCTGACTTGGGACAGGCACATACAGAATGTTGCGGAGTTAAACATGTTTGAAAGCGCTAACCCTCCCCTGACTTTGGACAGTGATGTAACGACACAAACCAAGAAAAAACTATGCAAACCAATTAACGAAAAAAAAATATGAGAAACAGCAAAAAACGACAACCACTCAATTACAGACCCCTGACTTGGGACAGGCACACATAGAATGTGGCGGGGTTAAACTAGTCTGAAGATGCCAATCCTCTCCCTAATCTGGGACAGTGGTGTAACAGTACAACATAAGAACACACTATAAAATCAGTTGAAAAGGGCTTAAATCGTCTGAATAATACAAAGCAGAAATACATCCAACAAAAACACAGACCGGACATGGCAGGGTAGTTAACATGTCATCCCCACAACAAAAAAGACCCGAAGTACAGACAACATTCGAATGGCAATACGTATTACAGAAAAAAAAAGAAATCAGAGCATCATATTGTCAAACTTCTAGTAAACAGTTACCGTAAATTGGGAAATTTTGGCGTCGGGATATTCTGGCATGTGTTTTATTTTGGTGTGTATAATTTTGGTGCTTCGTCTAATTGATATGTTTAATTCTGGAACAACAGTAGTGAGCAAGATCATTCATATTTGCCTTTATTTACCCGTTTATTGACAAAATATCATTTAATTTCTCAAACTAGAAACACGACAAAACTTAATGAAGGAGTCGGATACGAATGCAATAACAAATAATTCCGTATATCGTGGTTCAAAGATGAAAGAAAATATGAAATAAAATCCTAAATATTAAAATCACTTTTTAAATAGATTATTTATTCTTTACAAATATCATATGAAATAAATTTTAATCATCTCTATTGCAGTACATGTTAATCTATTGACGATCAAGGATTTAAATTTTAATCCTTATGCCTCTGGCAGTACATGTTAATTAATTGAAGATAAAGGATTACAAGGAGTTTTGATATTCTAATTACCAATAACGGGGTCTAATCAGCAATAGCCTGGTATATTTATGACATGTGTGAATAAAAATTCATGTTGTGACTTCTTAACAATTTCAGAAAATTGACAATTAAGTAAAAATTATATAGTGTTGTTGTCCAATTATACCAGGTATTTATTTGCAGATTTGGCTATGTATAGAATTGTAGGAAATATACGGAAGATAAAATAACATAAAATATTTTCCCCAAAAATTAACATTACGATATTGTCGTACCGGTACTCAATTTTGGCGTTTCAATTTTTAGTGTTTGTTTAATTTTCGTGTGTTTAATTTTGGCACTTTCATTGGAAGCATCAAATAAACCAAAATAAAACTACAACCTTACGGTAAAAGCAGGGTTACAGAAATATCTAGATTTCATACAAAAAATGATTTTGTGTGCAAGACGTCATTTGTCAAATTTAAGTGAATATTCAAAACGGAAAAATAATGCATTTAAGGAACAACCCTTTCATTTAAAAGGGAGAGGGTATGATATTTTGATGAAGAAAAAAAAAATTCCTAAGGGAAGAAAAATAAATAAGCTGTCGTAGCATTGGCCACACTATTCTAATATAACAACTTGCTGCCACACAACTTCAAAGAAAACAACATTTCAAAACCAGGCATTGCATGATACTTTATAATTTGTTTAATACAGTAATTTTAGCATTTGAATGCATGCAGCGTTTACTTACAATCAAACTTGTGGGCGGGTATCCAATTGTGTGGACATAATACATCAATTTGATTGGCTAAAATGAATTATAGATAAATATGTAGACAAGCCGAGGGTGATTTAAAATAGGCATTCTTTTAATAACTGTCGAATAGTACCGCATGAGTATGACTTAGACATGTTAGAGCATACAGTATCTGTTAAGTACGTTAAACATTGCTAACCGACGTCGAACTGTTGAATACCAGCAACCAGGAACCATTTTTCATAGAGTTGTGTAATCGCTCTGATGTGGATCAAAACGGACTTAATATTTTATGTGGATTGTATAATTGATGACGGAATGATATTTTTGGATCACATTTGTAGATAATACAAGGATTTGAAAAATTAATAGTCTTTGGTTTTAATATTAAATAACATGAATTATAAAACTTTCAAGAAGTCAAAAAAGTAGCCGAGGAAGAAACATAAACAAACCAGAACATTTCCTTTGGCCTTTTTTACTTTTCGCTTGTCGCTTATTGCAGCTGAACAAGTAGTAACAATAATTATAAGAGTAGGAATTTTTCGTATTTAAAAACACGATTGACGTGTTACCAGTGTTTTCAGTGAGATGAGATAGCAGTCACTTCATGGAAATATTTGTATTATGTATTAAATAAATTTAATTAATCATGACTATATGCATATCATGTATAATCAAACGACACCATAGTTACAAAATCTTTAATTTTCAAAACTGTGAGCCGCTATTACCCAACAGCAATATGTACACCAAACAAGTATTTATACAGAAAACAAGGAATGAACTAAATGCAAATATAACTATAAATTTACAGTTCATTTCAATAATATAAATGATTGCAAACAACAACCTTTCAAATCATTTGCACACCACATAAACGGTCTGGCATGTTAATGTTTCCTATATATTTACAAAGGTTTTGCATATATGCAAATTTCCATAATGCCATTATCTTTGGATAGCTTAAAAATTAATCACAAATAATAAGGAGGCCCATTACTTTATGTTGGTTTGAAATATGCAAATACTTAAATATTTGCCTTATCGGGTCACCAGGTTCAAACATAAGATGCCTAACCATATTTGCATATGTATGCAAATGAAATACTGCTTATACCTATAGAAATTTGAAAATTTAACTTTGACACAAAACCTGTAAAATTAAAACAAAATATCAATAATAAAGAAACATTTACCCACGTTTTATATATGTAAAAGGCGGCCGCGCCTACCTGCAACACCATGGATGTTTATGGGGAAATATTAAGATTTATTGTCAACAAAGATAGCACAAACATATTCACAGCCTAGTAAAGGTTATCTAAATATGTGCCTTTATTTATGTTTATCATATATTTACATACGTATGTAAATCGACCTTTTCATGCAGTGATATAAAACATGCACATGACAAAATAAACTGTAGGAATAAAATCAAATGAATAAATACAATCAAGGTGGGGATAAAAGGCAGAAGAATATCCTCATGCTCTCTCATTAGCCGTAAATACACTTCTTTTTACCATCCATTTGTTACAACCATGCTACAAGGGATTAACAAAAGACAACAGAATGGTTACCCATTAAAACCTGGTTTCAGTCATATAGACTCTATTCCCACCACCACTTCATTGTTAAAGAAGAAAATATTATTGGTTAAAAATAAATACTGAAACTATTAAATATGGAATGCACAATCAAACCATAAAAAAACTTCATTACTTTCTGAAGGTGTGTTTTTTTACCAAAAAGGAGGAGAAATTGATCTTTAATTGTTTATCTAAGTTTTCTCGCAAGAAATCTGCTGATAGGTTACTGCTGTATGAATTACTGTAATGAATGCCAGTACCTTATCTATATTTTCTTGTATCAGGTCAGTTCAATTAAAATCATACGAAAGAAATATTTTGATCAATAATTGGACAAAAAATAGTTTTTAAGAAATATACATCACATTCCATAAACCAATTTTCCAGCTTATATCTATTCAATAATTGAAAGAGAAATTACTCATTTTTTAACACACAAAGAACATGCAGTAGTGAAATTTCTGATCCAACTTTCTTTTTATCCAGTATAAAATAGGTGTGATTCAAATTTGTTTTCTTTGTATTGTAACAGTTTTGACTTCATTTAACGAATCCCAGATAACTTAAAACTAAAAGTTTTTGATGTGATCACCCTTTATTTTTTATTTCCTTTGTTTATTAAATTCCTTTGTCTCAATTTTGAGTATAAGTAGGCAAACTCTGGGGATGGCTACTTGTAAAGAGTTTGGTATTGCAGTGATGACGGTTCTTACCGTAAAACACACATGTTCAGAACTACAGTTTTCAAATATTTATACATATCTTAACAATCAGTTTGAATTTCCATAACCTGCCAGGAATTTCAAGGAATATTAAGAAAAATATTACCTGCACAAGTCACTTATAAAATCAACAAAATAATCAAAAAAATATTTTACACAAAGTAACTAACATTAAAATGAATTTGACACCCTATCTGTTGTTACTTTACAATTAAAAATTGTCACAACACCATTCTGGATCATACTGGAAAAGTCAAATATCTTGAAATATGACCCTGTTCTGTACCTAAATAGACGACATTTTTATCACCATTCAATATATCATCTGAACATCCCTATCCCACCCTCTACAGGACAACCTAATGTTTAAGTAAGAAAAATTGTTATCAAATACATAAAATGTGTTAAGTGAAGATATTGTGATAAATGTTTGTTAATGGAAGATGACTGAAGAGTGAGAAAGGTGCACTCGAATATTCAAGTAAAATGATTTATATTGCAGATATAAACTGTTTGTTGTGGGGAGATAACTAGGAAGAGTGAGAAATATGCACTGTATAAGTCAAGTTATATGATTCCTTATATAATTTTTAGTAACTTACTTTTCATATGAGTGAAGATTTGTCCCTGGTAACTGTAGCTTCTGCATATCTGAATCTCTAGAATCTAAATAACAGTTAAATTATGATAACTTATTTCTTAAAATAACAAAACTATAACATGTGTAACTTCTTAAAGGGAAATAAAACAACCATGTTTTTATCATTTTATTTCAGGTACATTATTCATTTAGTCAACAACCCATCATATATTCATTTGTAATGCTAATGGTTAAAAAAAATCCCTAATATATCAGAATTGATTAATATTCTGCTTTTTTTTATATAACCTTCTAAAAAGGTAAAAAATAAATTATAGAAAGATATAGATATGTATAAAAAATTAATTTTCAAACATGGACTTATTTCTTTTTGTAGGCTCCTAATTCCATGGTTTCCAGAGAAAGGAGAATGTATTAAGCCACTTTTTTGGCCCCTTGAATTCAAATATCAAAAAGTATTGTACATCTACCAAGTAACATACTTCTGATGTTTATAAGACATTAATTTGAGATATAAAGGGTATTTATATTTTCCTATTTTGGCTTTCATGTTTGCACCTGAGAGGTTCAAACTTCTTGAATTTAGTGCAAAACTGCCAAACTGTCAAAATAGCCTCATTTTGAGAGCTTGTCGTTGATCTTTAGAGATATTAGCAACAGCTTTACCCAAAAAGATATTTTACTACACACTGTATTTTACAAAGATAGTTTTACTTTGTTTGCAATTTCAGGGTCCAAATAATGGCTCTTATAAAACCTCCTCCTTTGCTATTGTGAGGATATTTTTTCTCTACTTATTACTTCTCATTATCCGAAAAATTTGTAAAAATATTCCCTAGAATTGTAATCTTACAAATATTAATCAATATAGTAAATTATACACTTGTGGAAATTGGTGTGAATACAGTCTCTTAACCTTTAATGATTAAGCAAAACACAGATTTACAAAAAAAATTAAAAAACAGACAACAATAAATCTTACCATTTCCTTTGTAAGCTACAGAAAATATACAACAAAATAATTATACTATATTGTTAATTTTTTTTAGAATGCATGAAATTTCAACAGAGTATAAATGTTGTTTTTTTTCTAATGCATCAAGACTTTCCTTATAAGACTTTTTATGCTGTAAATCATTTATGGAAAAAGTATAACAAAAATACCAAACTCCAAAGTAAATTCTATTTAAATTTGAGACATTTTGGAAAATATATATTTGATTATTAAAACTTACCATATGCCATAGCTGTGGCTGCCTTCAACTTTCGTTGATATCTGTAATAGTACCAATATTCATTGATTATTATGTGGCATGAACAAATCAAATAAATTAATATATTTATATTATTTCACCGTCCACTAATTACTTCGTTTTTTTTCTTTCCCCCAACTGATGGTAGTATAGAAGACTGTGTCCAATTTTCCTCTTAAAATAATGAAAAATTTACATTTATTGTGGAACTAAACCTTCCAAATTTTGAAACTTAAAGATGTATTGATATAGTAGCATTATTCACATTTATGCAAATCAAGAAGACTGACTGTACTGTTTAATGTATTTCTGTTTTACACTTCTGCAAAATGACTTAAGTGTGGAAAATAATAAAGCAAGGTTCAGTACAGAAATATCATTGTAATAAATTATTATGCATTCATATAAACTTTACCAAAATAATAATCATATACATAAAATTGAGAATGGAAATGGGGAATGTGTCAAAGAGACAACAACCCCACCAAAGAGCATAAAACAGCCCAAGGCCACCAATGGGTCTTCAACACAGCGAGAAAATCCCACACACGGAGGCGGGCTTCAGCTGGCCCTTAAACGAAAATGTGTACTAGTTCCGTGAAAATGGACGTCACACTAAACTTCGAAACATATAAATGAACATACATGCCTTTTTGTATGACATAAACAGTGGATTTCTTTAGGCTTTAATTTATGAGTTGATAGTAAGTGTATTTTCAATCCAAAATACTTTTATTTATATAGTTTTCAACATTATAGTAAATAAACATTATCTATGATTTATGGATATTTGTGTTATATGTTTGCTGTCTCATTTTATTCATATTCATAAATACTGGACATGGTGCAGGAAATAAATGTATGTGAACCTCATATTTATACCTTTTGTAAGGCTCAAACAAATACATATTATATTCTTTCACGGCACAACGACGACGAGGTTTTTTTTTTACGACCTTGACTACCCATGAGGGTCTTGCACTGTTGGTAAGTAAGGGGTAAGGTTATGTAATATATATTCATAGTCACACTTACTTTTTATACATAAAATAAATAACAAACATCATAGCGATGGCTGGTACACCAAGGATTATAGCTAACAGAATTATAGCCATAGTTAATTGTCTTTTGCTATCATCTTCCTCAGCTTGCGTTGTCGTTGGCTGTAATATACAAACAGGTAATATTTTTATCATGTATGGAGTATCTACCCTAGTATATCTGTTACCACTAGACCACAATTTGGTTGGAAGTTTTGAGGAAAAGATTTTGAAAAAAGGTTATGATGGTAGACCCATTCAAAATGATGATAGAATTGAGAATGGAAACAGGGATTGTGTCAAAGAGACAACAACCCAACCAAATTTTTAATTTTTTATTTTAGTAGCTAACACACGACAGAGTGAGGTCAAAATAACTGACTTATGTGTTTAATCAAAAACAGTGAAATCTGTCCAAGCCAATCCCCTTAAGGATAAAAAATTAGTTCTGTTTAGATATGTGTTTGATTAGTATAAATTGACTGAGGAGGTCTGGTTTTCAGTTTTGTCATGGTTCAGTTTAGGGTTCATTTTGGACATGTGTTATTGTATGATCATTCTATCATGCATAGTATAAACTTACCACTATTTGGACAATATTATAATCATTCAATACACTGACCAAAGCACTGGCACTGCCATCTATCGCACTGTAAACACAAAATTTATAGAAAGTTAACATATTGTTTATTGTTATTGAATCTGAAATTAAATACACTTACATGGTATATGTATATCAAAAAAATTCATAAATGTATTTACATAAAAAATATTTCAAATTATATTATCAATTACAAATATTCATTGTGTAAACTTTAACTTTTAAACTGAGTTTTACTGTGCGTATTGCTGTGTGTTTTAGTGCCTGTCCCAAGTCAGGAACCTCTGACCTTTGTTAGTCTTGTATGTTCTTTTAGTTTTGGTTCATTTATATGTTTCGGAGTTTAGTGTGACGTCCATTTTGGCTGAACTAGTATACATTTTTGATATGGGGCCAGCTAAAACCCGCCACCGGGTGTATCTCTTTGACACATTTCCCGTTTCCATTCTCAATTTTATTTAATGAATATTTGTAATTGATAATATATAATTTGAAATATTGAGGATTAAAAAACATTGCTAAAGGTCGTACAGTGACCTTTACTTTCTTATATCAACTTAATTTGAACTCTGGTGGATAGTTGTCTCACTGGCAATCATACCACATCTCCTTATTTTTATATGTTCTATTATGATTATGTTCTATTTTAATATTGTATATTTTTAAAACACATTGCAGTATCGATCTGGTTATACCTCTTATTTGTTCTGTTTAGTATTCAATCTACTCTGTTTAGTAATCAATCTTATGTTTGGTGTAATTTTTTCTTCCTTAATTGTTTAGAATATTAACCTTGGATGGAGAAGTATATATGCTTACCTAAGTTTCAGAGGAAAAGAATTCAACAAAGTTTTAATTGATAGAAACCACAAAACTCTTGATTTGATAGTAGTGTAATTTTTTTCCTTATCTAGCAATACAGTTACCTTAAAAGTTCTGAAGAATCCACAATTCTAAAAGGATTAATGACCTCTCCATGTATAAACATATCAGTTCTGTAATCAAAACATAAGACTGTCAAATCCATAGTTAAATTGTACGGTGAGCCAACCAAAAATTACAATTAAATTGAATCTTGAGTAAGTTACATATTTAACTGCAATATCGTTGTAAAATGTTTGCAGTGGCGGATCCAGAAATTTTCATAAGTGGGGGCCCACTGACTGCCTAAGAGGGGGCCCGCTCCAGTCATGCTTCAGTGATTCTCTATATAATCAACCAAATTTTTCCCAGAAAAGGGGGGCCTTGGCCCCCTGCCCCCCCCCCCCCCCCCCCCCCCCTAAATCTGCCTCTGGTTTGAGAAAATAAAATCTAAAGTTATATTAAAAAAGTTGCAAAATGTATCATTATTATGCAGTTCGGTTATTTTAACATTAAAGATTGTTGATAAAATTTTACATGGCTGACAAATGATAAAAACACCTACTTATCGACCTCTGGTTTGCCTTGTTTATTTTCATGTGTCTGTATCTTATCAACAACAATTCTGTAACCAGTTATCTTTTCCAGTCGACTGAAAATATATTCATAAACTTTCATTGTATTGTCCACAAATGTCATTTACTAAAAGCAAAAATAAAAAAAAACAATAATTTGATCTAATGCTTTTTATATTATTTGAACAAGAACTTGTAACAGCCCAGTGTCCACAAGTGGCTTTCTGCAGTAAACAAACAGAACATGTACTACAGGGAAATTTATAAAACAACAGATAAACCTAACAATTTAAATTGGCATTAGGATAAGGTCTTTTAAGTCTATCCAATTAAGAATTTGTTAAATATAACCGAATATTTTGAGATTAATTATCCAAAAAACAAGATGTCCATATAAATTTCTACAGCTTTGAACAAACAAATAAATCTCAAAATGGAGAGGATAAGAAGAAGTGATCAATTGTTTCAACAGCACCATAGCTGCAGCAATTACAACTTTGATAGTAGGTTATAATGGTGATCATTCAGCCCACTTTATCCTAATGAGATTCAGTGTTGAGAGTGTAACAGACCAAACAAAAATCTGACTACCTCCAATAAAACTGTAAATGTTTAGCAAAAGATTAAGTCAAACTTACTTTTTAAATTCTGTGGAAAAATTTCTGACTTGTTCTGGGAACATACGGAATATGACCTTTAACCTTTGGTCATCATTAATTAAAGATATCTGAAAAAACAAAGATAAAAAATGCATTTGATATCCATGTGAAACTTACAATTTAAAAAAGTTCAGTATTTCACAATAAAACACTACAGGTCATAAACAGCTGCAAAAGTTTTTCATCTTTTTCATAATTGATTAACAAACAGGAAGTGAACTTATCTGTTTGAAAGTTTTCTTTAAGTGCCATTTCAGTATTAATTATTCAAATCCAAAATGATGTCACTGACACAGTGTATTGGATGAGTATTTTCTTAGCTATCCACATTCTCTTGCAAGTCACTAGAGGCATCAACTCTTGTACAAAAATTTTGATGAAATCAAAATATCCTTTGATACATTAATTTGGCAATGTATGATAAATATATTAGTGAACATACCCTTAGAGTAGCATTAGCCAGCTGCATGTCTTTATCTTTTGCTTGTACACTCATTAAGAAGTAGCCATTCATATCAGCTTGGAAGTATGTATTTGTTTTCAATGTCCCGTTACTGAAGAACTTGAACGGAGTAGATCCTATAGACTGACTCAAACTATCAGGGTACACAACCAATGGACGACTTTGTACAAATGTATGATTCTTATTCTCTCCAATGTCTAAGTCAATTATTTCACTCTGGAAAAAAAAGATATATTTTACAATGTTATAAATAACTAACTACACAGACAACATATTCAATGTAAAACCGCTATCAAAGAAATACTGGTATAAACAATTCTGGTCCATTTTGAAGGAAAAATCACAAAAGTACACAATTGTCTACTTGATTATCGATTGCTTACATATTCAAAGGCAATTTCTCCCAAAAACAAAATAAAGCCGTTACAATGTTTGTTCATTTAACATTGAACAATGACTTGTCTAATATTTCTTCAAAAGAAAAAATAATTTTCACTGACAGAAAAAATTGTATTCTAAGACATTCCTTCCATGGCTCATCTCTGAGATTGTATTCATTTTTGAACCAGATGGTATTTAAGAATCATTTCATGGAAAGTTCAGAGATGATAGATGTGTTAGCATACTTCTGCCTGTACGTATTCTCTAAATAAAGATATATAATTTACATCAACAGTCAGTGAATCAGGAATAGACTGATTTATTAAAAATGATTCTGTTGAAACAACTGAAAATATTATAGGCCACTTCAAGACAATTACTGAAAAAAATAATGCATTAAAGAATGTCAAAGGGAGATAATCTTAATATTAGCTAAATTGACCATGTTTTGGGATTCCCTGTAACTGTTTGGGTTATATTTCAATGCAATGATAACTTCCACGGTAATCTTACCTTTAAATTAAATATAAGTTCCCCAAACTGTGTTTTCCTTGTTATACCAATACTGAGTGTATCCTCTCGGAACCTTGGAGGATGATCATTAATGTCCTGAATTGTGACCCTCACCCATAACTGTGTCACATTTAAAGGTTTATATATAGATGGGACCACTGCTTCAGATGTGGCAGGCCCTCCGATCTGTCCAGGAGATAACTTAAGGTAGTTATAAGGTGTGGCCCATATTACCAAATTGATGAAATTAATCTGTCGTTTGAAAGGATTTTTATCGCCATCTCTGTCTATTGATTTCATTAAATATAGTTGTCCTGTCTCATTTAGATGGAAGTGATCCTGCATTTCTCCTCCTGAAATTATATTTCTTAATATGATCAGAGTTAGTTTGATATCATTTTCTTGTGAACATATAGAAGACAGAACCAGACCACAAATTTATGTAGCTCATGCTATACAAGCCATTAAACTATCTTACTATCATAAAATTGTGTAACCTTTAATTTTAAAACTATCTTTACCCACAAACAATTGGTATTTTTGAAAAATATTTTTTTTGTAGCTCTAGTTATCTTATAGGCTGATCACCTATTTGGATACCAATCCTGATGATAACCATACAACTGTTCTAGCAGTCATTACTGTTACATGAGCAGAGAATCACTTTGAGCAGGATTTTGTGGAACCTCTTGTTCAGTAAGGTTTTAGTAATCAATGTATGATGCTTTGTTTCGTAGCATTTTTAACACCATGTACTCATTTGTTAATTTAAAAACTTATTCAGTACTAAAAGCTCATTTGACTAACCAATAATATAATAAAATATCTGGCTATTGTTAGCATCACTGTCTTTATCCACAGCTACGTCAACACTACCAATCAATGCCCCGGCACTCTCCTCTGGCACACTGCCAACATAGTACGGCTGATACTGGTTATCTCGGGGAAATTCTGGGTCTTTATCATTGATATCTATCAGGCTGATTGTTAAAGCTAGTGGTGTCCTTAGTTTATTTGGTAGACCATTGTCATATGCTTCTATTTTCACCTGAAAATAAATCATATATGGAAAATAAGAACATTTTACTTCCCAGTGTAAAGTTATTAGCCATGCCAGATCATTTGTATCATTACTGTTGGGGGACTGATGTTATATACAATCATGATTCATAAGCTGAAATTTAATACAATAAGAAAAAAAACAGATATGTTGGGTATGTCTATTAGACAGCAACCCAGACACACACAATATTGATTGATTGATTGTGGGTGTTAACTCCACTTTCAGTACTCATGGCTATATCATTGCTGCAAACTTTTATTGACAGAGGAAGCCTGCATGATCATGATTGGCTAGAGATAATCACTGACATTTAATAGGAAAACTGGCCATCCTAGTCAGTTAAGGTACACAAAAAACATTTAGTGGTCAACATACATAGTATGGTCTTCAACAATAGATAAGTGTCTTTACATCATGAATGCATAAATTAACAAAGGCTAAAGAATGAGTGTTGATGTAAATATCTTTAAGAAATTCCTACATGGAAAGTAAGATTCTTGTATGCAGTGTCACTACTGTGCCTTCAACATGGTCAAATATAACTTGCAACCTTTGGGGTTGGAATGCTATGTTTGATTTGATGTCACATTTAAAAGGACCTGTAACACAGGCACACTGTCAAATATTAACTATTTAATTTGCTTAAAGTGATCTGGTGTCATGAGACAATTTTTAAACATGAAATTGTGCTCTACAGGGGGTAACCTACTGGACCCCAACTACTGACATTTTACATACTATTCCTAAATTTAATAAATGTTATATTTACCCTATACTGAGCCCTGACTTCCCTGTCCAGTACTACTTTATTCCTTAGCTCTCCTGTATCGTTATTCAAGGTAAATTTAAGATAATCATCTTCTGGTATCAGACTGTATGTAACTTCTCCATTCCTCCCATGGTCTTCATCGTTAGCTATTACTTTTATAATCAATGTATTGAGATCTTGTTGCTGAAATGTCAAAACAACAGAAATACATTATCACCATTTTCTATTCTACTTTCTAAAAGTTACAGCACTTTGCTTTCAGTTGCAAATAATGTGTGTCCTGCTCTTGATTTTCTACCTTTAAATGAACAGAAATAAATGATGCTTACCCATTACCTAGTATAATATAAAGTTAGACAAAGATTGGACTTATCTTCAAGTTATAACATAATTGTATAGTTTATTTTGTCATAAAAATACTCTGACACTTTACCTTTGTCCTTTAAATCAAATAATTTATCTTTGAAATCACGTTTATTCAATTATTCAAACCAATGAAAAAATCAACACTAATAAATACCTCTTCTATACTAATGGTAGCCTGTGGTCCTTGTGGTACAATGAAAACTGGCTGATGTAAATTCACATCAAATATCTCAAAATACATTTTTTTCTCTGACGACTTTTTTGGTGATCCACGATCTGTAGCTTTCACTGTCACATATATAATTCCTACCTGACCTAATAAACTTCCTTTTAATTTAATAACACCTTCATTTTGGTTTCTGTCAGGGTTAAATGTGGTATCTACAGTAAACTGGACTGTAGCATTAGTATCGGATGTTAATGAATAATCCACTGTGCCATTTTCTCCATTGTCGGGATCGGTTGCAAATATTTTAGCTACGGTTGATCTGTCAGGCGCGTTCTCATAAATTCTAATCTGATCACTTGTCATACTCCTTAGGTCAGGGGCATTATCGTTTACATCTAAAATGTGGATCATAATCTGTCCTGTTCGTGTTGATTTCTGATTGGTTGGATCATTCACATTGTCCCTGGCAACGACATATATACTGTATTCTTTTCTGGTCTCATAGTCTAAGTTACAATCCACAGTAATTTCCCCCTAAAAAGACAAGACAAAATGGGGTCATTCACAAATATATGACTCCATTGTATAAAGTGTTGTTTGTTTGGGTTTTTTAAAGATATCTTTTGTTTTTTTGTGTCGTTGAGTTGCAAACTAAAGTTCATAGCTTACAATAATTTCTATAAACATTTTGCTTCAGGTAAGAATATGTAATAATATTATTTTGAATTTCTTCTATAATTTTAACAGGTCGGGAACACTACCTTATATGGATATGCATAAATTAGCATACTTATGTCCTCGCACATGTAATTGTTTATTTACGTATGACGCAATTTTTTTTTACCTGGGTTTTTGACCAATCCATTAAATGAATAACAATGCATGATGGACTACTACGTGTTTTCGATCAACCCAAGAACATGTGTTATTTACTGAAATACAACACATTTTTTCATGCATTGCAGGATTAACAATTTCGCTTAATTTTTCTTTTTTTTGTAAAATTTTTTTTCCCACATTTATAGTCCGTGATATAAAGTATTTGTTCCATGCTCAGATTAACGAAGAGTTGTTTTTATGCTAAGAAACGAGTGTTTGAATTACCCAAAATATAGCCATTTATATGATTGATGATTACACGAAGATTTCAGGTATTCATCCACAAGACAACAACGAAACAACAGTGAAAAACACAATTACCCATAAGACAAACTTTCATTCAGATAGTTAAAAAAATAAGGGATCCTTGAATTTTGGGTTCGTAAAAAGAGGAAGACTTAGAGTGTGTCAAATATCTGTTGGGGTCAATAAAATTTCCAAACTTTTCATAAAATTGATGTTACGATATTGTACCTTTTTTTATGATTAAAAAGTAATTTAAATCGAGGAAGGGTATTTATTTATTAATTTGTTTTTGAGAAACAAACACGTGTAATCATCAATCGGGGCCATTTATAACCGACTATACGGTATGGGTGTTTCTCATTGTTGTTGCCTATAATTGCTTATATCCACTTCATTTGAACTTTGGTGGATAGTTGTCTCATTGGCATTCATACCACACCTCCTTATTTTTATATACAAACACCTTTCAGAATGATTGGTTTTCCATTATCTTGAAAAGAGATATTTACTATAGAATACTGTGTAATATTTTTATATTTAGAATTTGACAGGTACAGCTAGAACATGTATAAAACCAGGACAGTATATCATCTATCATATTTTATCAAAACTGCTCAAGACATTTCTTAATTCTTCTTTGAAAATGTTAATAAAATCTATAAGTATTGATTTTTTGGCATATTTCAGTTTTTTGGACTTTTTTTCTATTTCAAACTGTTCCCTTTGTTCTGAAGGTAATGAAGCAATATTTTCCTCAATCATTGCAAGCAGCTGTAGTTTCGTTTTGTTTTTGTCTTTGCAAAGTTTGTTTTCTTCTAAAGTAGATATTGGATTTTTTTACATTTTTAACGGACTCAGATATTTGCCAATCTTAATAAAATCATTATGGTGCTATGATGCTATTATTATGTATGAAGATTGTTTATACTAATTTCTATGAAAAAGTCACTGATGAAATTTTTTAAAATAAGATAAATATAAAGCAAAAAAAATCCGTCTTTTTTTCCCAAAATCCTGAAACTTTGATAAAAATTAATTAACTCCAAAGAATTGTTATACAATTTTAGAACATATATACTTATGTAAAGAAGATTTTCCAGATGTTTTTTTTTACAAAAATCCGCTTGTGTTTATCTTTTGAAACAAAAAAAGTTAAGTATGTCTTTCCAAAGGATAGAAATGTCCACAAAACCAAAATTTTGTGTAAATGTTTAACACTTTGACCCCATTTATCTCTTAAAGTAGCACATAAAGGTATATTTTTTATTACATATTTGAATTGACTAGGTGAAAATTAGCTTGTATGCAAATTTTCTAAAAAAAAATCACCGTGAGATTAAAACTGTGTCGTATGCCCTTATACAGGATACAAAAAAATCCAAAAGCGTATATAGAGATAGACCTGTAACCCATTCCTTTAAACCGTTTTGACGGGTTTAAAAGAGCTCAAATGATGATATACTGGACAGTGGTCACTTCATTGGAAATTTCACTGTTTCACTTGAAATTAATCCACAGGTACAATGCATAACAATGGACAAAGCCTGTTGAACTACTTTTACAAGGCAAAAAAGAAAGTCGAATCGTGAAGCCAGTAAACAATACTCGGAGTTCAGTATTTTTGTGATTTTACTTTTCTTTTTTTTTTTTTTAATCTGAGCATGCAATTTGAAGATTATGTTATGTATTTTACATTAAACACATTCGCTGAACAAAAACATTTATTATGAGAGTCCCAGACACTATTATTAGTTGACAGTTTTTCCACTAACTCCTTGTGTTTTTAAGCAGTAGTCAACTCGTAGTAGCCCACAATGCATTGTAGTTCATTGAGTCAATTGGTCAGTTTTTCAAGGCCATGTTTACCTTCTATTTTGGAAATTACTATGCAAATATATACTGATGTCAGGAAATCTAGAGTTCCCGACCTGTTTAATGCAATGAACATACATGAAGGATATATTGATTCCAAATTTCAATATGGGATAAAAAGATTCTGTCCATTAAAATTTAGAATTTGGACTTGATATAATAGTGGGGGTTTCCAGTTAATAACATAATACAGCACATAAGATGGCCAGTGACAAACTTCAGAATTTATGATGTCAAACTTTCCTGTAAAAATCTGTTATTTTTAATCCTACAATGTCAGACCAGGTCTATTGTTATTGAACCAAAGACAAACTTACAGTGAACTCATTAATGACCAAGCAGCCATCATCATTATTAATTTGTATAGAGTAGCGAAGACTACCAAACTCTCCGATGTCTTTGTCTGTTGCATCAATCACTGCTATCATAGTGCCATTAGCTGCAGACTCAGATACACTATAGATTCTCTGGTAGGTATTAAATACAGGGGATTCATCGTTCACATCTAGAACTGCCACTGTTACTGTTGCTGTGGATGACAGTATGGGAACACCATTGTCAGTAGCAATGACCTTGAAATTGACCTCAGAATTCTGTTCCCTATCTAGTTTCTTGGCAAGTCTAACTGTTCCTAAAATGCAGTTGGTATTGTTATGTATTAAAGTTCCTATAGTTAGTATCCTCATTAGTTAGAAAATATCATAGTGACAACAGTTTCTGAGACTTAAAAGTACATGTATGGTGTATTCTGTCTTTCTGTCCAAGAATGACTTTGACACCATAAAATAAGTTTGTTTTACTGGACATTAAGAATTTTTAACAACAATGTTTGCTTCTATAAAGATAAGTTTGGTTTCAATTTTCATAGATTCAGATTTGTTGTTCCAGAGTAACTGTTCTTAAATTGTTAAACACTTTTTGATATGAATAGTGTCTCATGATATCTCAAATTTGTTTTCACAGATATCTTAGAAATTTTTAGATTATGTTATGTTCTATAGAATGATACGCTGCACTGTGATTATGACAATTCTTAAATTTGTTGTTCCATAGTTATTTTGAACTTGTAAATTTAACAATATTTTTAAACATTTCTCATGATATCTCCAATTTCCTTTAAAATTTGTTAATTAGGAAATTTCTATACATTTAAAAAAAATAAAAACAAGCTCCCTTTTGATTCCAGAGTAATTGAACTTGTAGTGTTAAAAATTTGACATGTATACATAAGGTCATTAAAGATTGCATATTTTGGCGTTAATATTGATTCACTCATAGGGTCTTTGCATCGGAACTAAACACATTTATTTAAAAACCAGTTGTTGGCATTACACGGGTTATGTTCTTCTCATATATGTTATGATGGTATGATACTAAACCCCTAACGGGAAGGATTGTGCCTGATATTCATATGATGAAGACATAATCTTTCAATCAGTTTAATTGAAGTCTGGAGCTGGCATGTCAGTTAACTGCTAGTAGTCTGTTGTTATTTATGTATTATTGTCATTTTGTTTATTTTCTTTGGTTACATCTTCTGACATCAGACTCGGACTTCTCTTGAACTGAATTTTAATGTGCGTATTGTTATGCGTTTACTTTTCTACATTGGCTAGAGGTATAGGGGGAGGGTTGAGATCTCATAAACATGTTTAACCCCGCCGCATTTTTGCGCCTGTCCCAAGTCAGGAGCCTCTAGCCTTTGTTAGTCTTGTATTATTTTTAATTTTAGTTTCTTGTGTACAATTTGGAGTTTAGTATGGCGTTCATTATCACTGAACTAGTATATATATTTGTTTAGGGGCCAGCTGAAGGACGCCTCCGGGTGCGGGAATTTCTCGCTGCATTGAAGACCTGTTGGTGACCTTCTGCTGTTGTCTGTTCTATGGTCGGGTTGTTGTCTCTTTGACACATTCCCCATTTCCATTCTCAATTTTATAAATCAATATTGCTATATAAATCAATATTGCTATACTGAATCTTAATAAATTAAATGTTTACCATCATTTCCTTCGTTCTTTCCTTTGTGTTCATGTCTGCATGCATTTGTGCTTGTATGATTGTGTGCAAAAATCATAATTTACAGCAGGCCCAAATATTAAGGACTTAAATGAACAATTATTTGTCTTACCAGTATTAGAATCTATCTGAAATGTTGTAGAATCTGATGGATCTACAGAAAACTTTATTTGTTGGTTTTTATCCAAATCTATGGCTGATATCGTAGTTACAACATCCAAGATGTCTCGTCCCTCAGATATGTTGACGTGGTATTCACTGCTAGGTGTAAATGTAGGTGGGTTGTCATTCTTGTCATCAAGAATTATTGTTAGGGTGCCTGATTAATAAAAAGGGAAATAATTAGAAAATAGTTTGAAATGGCCTGCATAAATGTATAAAAATGGTTACATATTATTATCATAAATAAATAATTTTTTTATTTTCATAATAGCTCCATATTGCATCAAACATTCAAATTATAACTTTTAATAAACTGTTGACACAGAGATATATCTCGCCTATCGGCATATAATTCAGAAAAAGACAATCTGATGGACAGTAACATTGCTTATTAATTCAGTCACTGGACCATGATCTAGTGGCCAGGGCCTGAAAATGGTTGACAAACTGAGATGTACAGACAGTAATGTAACTTTATAGAAAATATTGTTGTTTATTGTAAGTAGTTCCTATCAATATAACTTCAGCAGAAAAACTTAACATTGAAAATTGCTAATTAATTCAAAGTCACTCGATTATGTCCTAGGGGACAGGACCTCAAAATAGTCGTCAAACTGATATGTACTGATAGTCATGCAACTTTGAACAAAATGTTATTGATCCATCACAAGTAGATCCTATCAAACTAACTTAAGCAGAAATCTTAATATTGAAAATTGCTTATTAATTCAAAGTCACTGGACCATGTCCTTGGGGGCAGGGCCTCAAAATAGTCGTCAAACTGATATGTACTGATAGTAATGCGACTTCATACAAAATATCATTGATCTATCACAAGCAGATCTTATCAAACTAACTTAAGCAGAAAACTAACCATTGAAAATTGCTAATTAATTCAAAATCACTGGACCATGTTCTAGGGGGCAGGGCCTCAAAATAGTTGTCAAACTGATAAGTACTGATAGTAATGCAACTTTACACAACATATCATTGATCTATCACAATTAGTTCTTATCAAACTGACTCAGGCAGAAAACTTAACATTGAAAATTGCTAATTAATTCAAAGTCACTGGACCATGTCCTAGGGGGCAGGGCCCCAAAATAGTCGTCAAACTGATATGAACTGATAGTAATGCAACTTTATATCAAATATCAATGATCTATCACAAGTAGTTCCTATCAAACTAACTTAACAATTGTTGACGCCAGAGCCTGAGCTGGAGACGGAAAAGCAATCCCTAAGTCTCGCTTTCCAAGAATTTCATCGCAGCTGAGGCAAAAATAACTACAGTATTCCTGACATAAGACATCCATACGTCCAATTATAAATTGACATATATTACCTGTAGCTGTTTGTGGATTATGCATCACACCATTTTTGTCCTCAACTAAAATTTGTAGAACTATTTTCTCTGCTGTTTCTCGGTTTATATTGTCCTTGTTAACTTTTATTATTCCACTGTTTTCTTCAACCATAAAATAGTCCTAAAAATAGAAAACAAATACAAAATAACAAGAGTGCACACGCTGAAATGTCTCGCCTTCTTTACTAATCATTGATATTATGTTGATAGTCCTAAATATAAAGCTTTATTACAACTGTCACATAAACTTAACATTAACCAAGTAAACTAAACATTGACCAATGAACCATGAAAATAAGGTCAAGGTCAGATGAACCATGCTAGGCAGGCATGTACAGCTAACAATTCTTCCATACAACAAATATAGTTGACCTATTGCTTATAGTTTAAGAAAAACAGACAAAAACACAAAAACTTAACACTGAGCAATGAACCTTGAAAATGAGGTCAAGGTCAAATAAAACCTGCGTGACTGACATATAGATCATAAAATATTTCCATACACCAAATATAGTTGAACTATTGCATAACGTATTAGAAAAGAAGACCAAAACTCAAAAACTTAACTTTGACCACTGAACCATGAAAATGTGGTCAAGGTAAGATGACACCTGCCAGCTAGACATGTACACCTTACAATCATTCCATACACCAAATATAGCTGACCTATTGCATGCAGTATTAGAAAGAAAGACCAAAACTCAAAAACTTAACTTTGACCACTGAACCATGAAAATGAGGTCAAGGTCAGATGACACCTGCCAGCTAGACATGTACACCTTACAATCATTCCATACACCAAATATAGTAGACCTATTGCATACAGTATAAGAAAAACAGACCAAAACACAAAAACTTAACTATAACCACTGAACCATGAAAATGAGGTCAAGGTCAGATGACACCCGCCAGTTGGACATGTACACCTTACAGTCCTTCCATACACCGAATATACTAGACCTATTGCTTATAGTATCTGAGATATGGACTTGACCACGAAAACTTAACCTTGTTCACTGATCCATGAAATGAGGTCGAGGTCAAGTGAAAACTGTCTGACGGGCATGAGGACCTTGCAAGGTACGCACATACCAAATATAGTTATCCTATTACTTATAATAAGAGAGAATTTAACATTACAAAAAATCTGAACTTTTTTTTCAAGTAGTCACTGAACCATGAAAATGAGGTCAAGGACATTGGACATGTGACTGACGGAAACTTCGTAACATGAGGCATCCATATACAAAGTATGAAGCATCCAGGTCTTCCATCTTCTAAAATATAAAGCTTTTAAGAAGTTAGCTAACGCCGCCGCCGCCGCCGCCGCCGCCGCCGCCGCCGGATCGCTATCCCTATGTCGAGCTTTCTGCGACAAAAGTCGCAGGCTCGACAAAAAATTAACAATCAGATAATCTGCAAAAAATCTGCATTTAAGTTTATTTCTCAATCTACCTTGTAATGAGTAACAATTATATAACTCTTCAACCAAGTAATAGGATAATTAAGTGATAACTGTATTGTATTTGAAGCTTTGCGGACGTCCATCGGTAGTTTTACTGTCGCAAATTTAGTTTACCTGGCGACGCGTAGCGGAGACAGGTAAACAGGTATTTGCGACAGTAAAACTACTGATGGACGTCCGCAAAGCTTCAAATACATTACAGTTATCTCTATTCTAATGCAAAACAAGTACATAATTGAATTCCAATCATTATTCCAGTGTAAAATTTTCATGAAAGAAAATTCCGCGAAAAGATGTTATCTTATTTGGCCCCTAAACTAGGTGACGCCATAGGTATGCTTCCGGCGTCAAACGTAAACAACTGGCGTTTTCTGGCTTCTTGGCCGCTTCAAAATGTAATAAAATTTGATAAAAAGAAAATTGCTAGGTGCAACATGTGAGTTTTTTTGTTATTATTGTAGAACTTACATGTCAATACATTCCGCAATTCAAAATGTCGGCTTCCTTAGTTACAGACAAGGAGATAGAGAATTTTACGCTTACTGTCATCCAATCAGAACCATTGATACAAAATAATTGCATTAGAATTATATAAGGAATTTTAAACTTCATCTTCTGGGACATGGATCTGTGGATGAATATATAATACACAAGTAAATTTTCCAATCTTAATTTGCCTTGTCTTTTACTTTTATTTATTTATTTCTATTTTCATAAATATCTTAGCCTTTTCCACAGTATTTCATACCAATTCCTTTTATGTGTTCAATATTGATGTTGTCCTATATCATTCTCATTTAAACACCTTTGTAATGATACCATTTTTTATTCCATACCTGAATGTTATATTTTCCTACATCAACTTCAAATCCATTCTCATCAAATGCTGTTGTTCTATTCTCTATTAAACTGTAATGAAGATCAGTATCAGAATCAGGATCTGTTGCAGTGAAGTCTGTCACCACCTCAGATGTTTTAGGAGTGTTCTCACTAACATGTACTGTCCTTGATGAAGTGAATATTGGACTTTCATCATTAACATCGTCTACATAGATCTTTACTTGACAATATCCAACTAGAGTAGTAGACCCTCTATCTGTTGCAGAGACATTCAAAATATATAAACTTTTGGTTTCTCTGTCCAACTTAGCACCAGTTTCTACACTTATTTCTCCAGTTTTGAAGTTAATTCTAAACTGATCTTGTGATCCACTGTCTATTCTGTAAACAAATTCATTGTTGGGAAATGTGCCGTCAGCATCAGTGGCCTTGATCTGTGTAACAACAGTTGAATCTGTTGCATTCTCTAAAACATGGGCTGTATAACTTGGCTGGTTAAATACCGGAGCATTATCATTTACATCCTGAAGACAAAAGACATTATCTCTTATTTCGCAGGAAAAAAACTTCCATTATTTTTTTTTTTTAATATAAGCAAGCGACAATTCTTAAAGAGAGAATATGTTATTTCTTCCATCTTAATATATATAAAGCAATATATTTGTCATTTTCAAAAGGTCTAGTCATCTTTTCATTGTGTATAAAAAAAGCTTTTTAAATAAATAACAATGATTATGATTATGACATGTAATATCAAGCTATATTTTACCAAGTCAGGAATATGGCAGTTGTTTTCCCATTTGTTTGATGTGTTTGAGTTTTTGATTTTGCCATTTGATAAGGGACCTTCCGATTTGAATTTTCTTTGGAGTTCGGTATTTTTGTTATTTTACTTTTTTGATACCATATTTAATTATGAACATGTTAGTTTCTATTTTTCTTCTTTTTTAGACTGTAGTGATCTCAATAGGCCCTTTTACTTTGAATCTGAGCTAGTGCAATGTGAATTGTTTATTAGAGGTAACAATGTAAAGATCCTATCTTTCTAAATATAGATTATTGATGGTTTTTCAAACAAAAGGGTGTTTCTCACCTACAATCTCATCGAAGGTCGACAGTCCTGAAATGAGATGAGGCCTAGAAACATCCTCGAGTTTGAAAGACCATTGGTAATCTTTTATCGTTAATTTGTGTATCAGATGTGGGTGACTTTTACATTGACAACGGCACTTGTGCCCTTAGTTTCTAGCGATAATTAATTAAAAATATTATTACAAAAAAAATCAAAGGAAAAGTACACAAAATAGCAATAATGCTATAAATTCCACATGTACATGTAGATAAAAACTATTCAAATCACAACAAAGGAGTTGAAATCTCAACTTTGTATATGTATATCATAATTATAAATGTAAAGATTTTAATTACTTCCACTTCTATGGTAACATTGATGACCTTTGACCTCCTAGGATTTCCCCAATCCATGGCCTCTACAATTAACACAACCTTTCCATTCAGTTTTGGATCAAGAGCTTCATAATCTAAGGGAGATTTGACAGTTATCTCCCCTGACAGTATATCTATTTCAAAGTTGTTTTCAAGTCCAGGCGGCGTTTGGTTAATCTCATACTTTATTAAGCTGTTAGGTGTGTTTGGTTCATCTATATCAAAAGCCTGAAATAACGTGATCCAAATAAATTGCATTCTAAAAGCACAGTTTTTTACACATCAATAAAAACACATTTCCAAAAGTATGTTGCCAATGAGTTTTCGCTACACTCACTGTAACTCAAGTTTTTGACAGTGTCATGTACTAAATATAAATGACTAAAAGAATTAGCTAAGCTTAAAATTAAAAAAAATTAAATTAGCTATCCATTTTAGCACAAAAAGTTGGAATAAATTTGGAGAATTTATCATAATGATGACAGATAACTCCAATTTTTTTAAATGTAATTCATTTTGTATGTTTTTTCTTCAGCTTCACCAGTTTAACTTTCTTCCCCTTAAGGCAAAAAATACCTCCACAATGAGTTTGCCTCTTTGGAAATTACTGGCTTTCTCTTTAATAGTACTGAAATACTCCTCTCTTCTGAATTCTGGAGAGTTATCGTTCTCATCAGTGACGTTGATTCGTAACTCTGTGGTAGAACGGAATCCTCCACCGTCTTTGGCCTCTACAGTTAGATAGTATTCGTCAACTTTCTCTCTATCTAACTCTCCAGCTACTGAAACCTCTCCAGTTTTGTCATTTATGACAAACCTTAAGATATACAAATATACTTCTGTAAAGATAGACAATGCAATTTTCCATAGGAACTCTTTTTACGGCTAAAACTGTGCCACTTAACCATGAAGTTTCGTTAAAAAATATCTTAGAATGAAAAGTTCATATGCACTACAATTTTTTCAATGGTCAAAACTTAGGGTTGTGCAGCATATTTTCAACGTTTACATGCCACGAACTTCCAAGAGTTTAAACTTATACTAAAATTCTGTACTACACCCCTCCCTTCACTTTGGGTCTTCCTCAGAACTCAATTTGGTCGCTATCCATGTGTATTTATACTGGTAACATTCCCAAGTAATGTCTCTATGAGATGCAGCATAGAGATCATATCGGGGAACCAGTACATAATCAAAACAAAATATCTATGAATATTATATATCTCCCCAAAAGAGGCGTGGTTTGTGACACAGCTGTATTTACAAAGTGCAACCTATAGATAAATTAATTTTAGTACTTAATCTTTTCTAATGTGAATAAATGTTTCAAAATTGTAATGATTTGAAAAAAAATTTGCTGTATTCTTTTTTGAATATTGTAGTTATTTTATTTATTGCTGTTTCCTTATACAGTGAAGAACATCACATTTTCTCTATTAAATTCTTTTATATCCTTCTCTTGGATTGAGCACATAACTGTGAATAATCTGGTCCAAAATCTGTTTTCAAGCCCAGCATTTTTTTAATTTCTGATGGAATAACTGCATTTAGCAGCTTATTATGAATTAACTTTTAATTGTATTCGTCTGTTCTTCAACTGTTTAAGTTATAAAGGGAGAGAACTGAGTAATCTCTGAGGTTACTCCATCATAAGGATATGATTATGTCTTACAGTACATTGTTGTTTCTTCTCTAGTTCTTGTATATTTTACATGTCTTACTGAATTTATATTTATTCTTGACAAGGAACAATAAATGGTAGAACCATGTGTCCAGTGTTAAGAAGTCTACCAACTAGATATTGTTTTATGTACCCATTCCAATACAATTTTTCTAATATGCAAGTAACGAACTTACTTCCCATTACCTCCCCTGAGTGAATAAGTCAACTGTCCAAATATACCAGAGTCTTCATCTGTTGCCTGGAAACAAGAAATTATTATAAAAAAAACTGTTACATCCATGATAGATCAAAGGAAAGGGTTATTGTTATATATTTATAATTTAGTATCTGTAACAATACATGATAAATACATTTTTTGTAGTTGTGGTATGATTGCCAATGAGCCAGCTATCCACCAGAGACCAAACAGACTATAGGTTACATACTGTACAGCCTAAATCATAGTCCAAAATGTTGGCTGACAGGCATGTATATGCATGAATTTGCGAGCAAAATTTTAACTTGACCCGAGGCAATGTTTAATTCCATCTTTAAATACCTTTTTTTAGTTTTGTTTGCTGTGTGATTCATGTTTGATTGTTGTCTGAAGTCAAAAGTCACAAATTTGCATGTCAAGTAAAGCAGATTCCCATATAGTGTAAAGGTCTATTGAGTTCTTCAGGAGTAATACCACCATTGTTTATCCCCTATTATTTTTTGTTAAATTGGGACCTTTGAAAAAATGTGCAGATTTATCTTTGTTTCAAATAAAGAAATACTTGGCATGTCAGAGTCAAGTTTTATCCTGTCCAGTACTACAGTGAAAATTTCACATAAAATTTCATTGCATATAAGAAAATAACCATCACCAGAAGTTAACCAATCAAATTTCACCCCTTTTTTTCTTGTTTACAATCTTTAGTAACCATGTCACCTCAAGTTTCCACAATATTTAATAGAAACACCAAATATAAAAAGAATGGTGCTTTGAAATACCCAAGATATATGTTTATGACTCACAGTTTTTTTACTGCAATGAAATGCAGGGTTAATTTCCTACAACTGTCAAATTCAATGGAATATTTTTTTCAACCCTTTTTGTATTAAACCAGATGTGATGTACTATGATTTAATGGTGGTATTACATAAATTGTATTAACTTACATTAACAGTGATGACAGGTGTATTTATGGCAGAGTTTTCAGGTATACTAGCACTGAATATTTCAGATTGGAACTGAGGAGGAATATCATTTACATCTTCAATGTTCACAGTAACAGTAGCTATACTAGATTTCTTCTCAACAGTGTGTATTTCTCTGGCTATGACCTATTGTAACAGCAAAAATATAAAATTTCCACATATATTTCATTAAAAAAATTGTGAGAATTTGTCATACTGGTCTTAAATTTTCAAAAGGGAAATATGATGTTTAGACATTATTCCTACTTTTTTTATAGAAAATTATTGTATTTCACTGTTTACAATGTAATTATCAATTGTTACATTTACAATGCACATAAGCTTTCAGTTTTACTGGATGTATATATTTTCTTATTGTTGAAAATCTCTAAGGTCAATACAGGTATTCATGTCATCCAAAAACTAATTGTTTTTTTTTACTTTACATTCCTTTAGCTAGATCCTTTTGTTTAAATGAAACCATAATCTACAAACCTGAAATGTTGTTGAATTCATCTTCTCATAGTCCAGATTTTTGGAGTTATTGACTCTAATTAAAATAGGTGAAAGAGAGTATACTGTGCTAGGCTGTGGTGAAAAGTCATAATATGGCTGTCCATTCTTCTCAAAGCTTAAACTGAATATACTGTTCTGTCCCTGTTTATACAAAGTACAAAAGTTACATGGAGCCACAATGTATCAGTTATCATTAAATATATCACAACAAAAATACATAACAGATGTTTTAGTATAAGGATTATAAAAATCAAAGATAAACAGCATTGCATAATGTTTATCCTGAACATGCATGACATATTTGCCACTGGACATTAAGCAACCAACACTCAATCATCAATCATTGCATAATGCTTAAATAATAATTTCTGGCTCATAATTACTGATGATACATTATAGAACTCGGGTACGTACCTGATCTTTGTCACTAACAGACATAGAAGTTGTCACACCAGTCAAGGTAACTGGTACCCCATCTTGCATGTTCTCCAGGATCTTTGCCGTGTAAGTGTTAGCATTGAATTCCGGTTTATTATCATTGACATCTTCGACAGTGATAGTTACAAGTGTTGATGTTGTTGTTGGACCATTATTAGCTGATCCTTGTTTCACAACTTCTGATGCCTGAAAAGGATAAAGACAATCTTATAGACTGGGTCATGGTAAATTTTTAATAAGGATTTGTTGTGAATTCCAAATTCATTTCAACTAAAACAATAAAATCTTTCAACTTCATATGAAATATTTTCAATAAATTACTCATATTCATATTTTAAATTTCAATCATTAATTCATAGAGTTGCATTTTCAAGTCTACTTTTCCTTTATAAGTTCCAAAAACTTTTCTATAAAGCAGTGCTCCATTTGAAGCCTGTATCCCTGACATTATATACATATTATAGATCAGTATGTGTGATACTGACACCATTTTCTGCACCAAAATGACTTTGTTACTCATGCATTTCATTCAATCATCTATACATTAATAAAACTAACTTTGATTGCATCTTTGCTCCTTCCTCCAGTAACACTTACCTGTACATACATGGCATACACCCCTCCCTTCTGTGTGACAGCATCATCATCCCTGTCTAGAACACTTACCTGTACATACATGGCATACACCCCTCCTTCTGTGTGACAGCATCATCATCCCTGTCTAGAACACTTACCTGTACATACATGGCATACACCCCTCCCTTCTGTGTGACAGCATCATCATCCCTGTCTAGAGCACTTTTTATTGTAATCCAACCACTATTTTCATTCAAGGAAAAGTTTGCAAAATCACCTGGAATGTTATATACAAAAGTAGGTTATAAATAATAAAATTAAATGTAAAAGTAGTGCACCATAATTGACTCTAAAAAAGTTCAATATTTCAAACAAAACATTCATCTATTGACCCAGGCAAGCAACAAAATATACAGTCATTGGATGAAATCATTTGTAAATTATAGGTTAAACTGGTTATTTCCTAAATGTTCAATAGAAAATTTTTTTACCAAAATTATTCTGTAAATACATTTCTTTTTAAAATTGTAATTTTTTATACTAATGTTGTATTTAGTAACATATTCTTTGAAAGAAACAGCCTAAGCTCATTAAAAACTATTTTAAAAATCTCGCTTTAATTTATCTTATAGTTCCTGAGGGTTTTTCACAAACTTTGTACAGAAATAAAGTGTTACTTTGTTTTGCGTTTTAACTGGAGATGTGATTAATTTGGTGGAAAATTAGTCAATGTTCCATCCAAAACCATGATGTCAACTATAAACCATATCTATCATTATGTTTTCAAGCTTACCCTGTGTAAATTTATATGTTATATTATTTGGAACTCCTCTATCTCCATCTAAGGCTGTCACTTGTAGCACTTTTTCACCCTTTTCAAAAAGAAAAAAATAAATATAAGCAAATAGTAAATAAATTTGAAAGTCACCTGCTCAGCAAAACATTTTCCTCTTACTAGAAGATAGTTGTTTTCTGTTTCGATAATGTCTGACAAAAATCTATTTTCAGTAACCATGACCTTGACCTTTGACATACTGTAGTGACTTCAAAATCAATTGGGATCCTTCTTTCATTATATAGCACCACATATTCAAGTAAGGTTGCAATATGGTATAAAGTATTTTATCAAGCATATTGAAACCACTTTCCTAAACAAATTTTGGTCTATTTTTAGTAACAAGATCTTAGAGATGTCACCTAAAAATTAATAGGGATCTTCCTCTCATTTTATGTTACTATATATCTAAGTAAGGTTGAAATCCCATATATCATATTTGATTTAGTATCCAAAAACCACTTTCCTTCACATGTTTTGGTCTACTTTTAGTAGCAATGACCTTGACCTAAGAGGTAGTGACCTAAAAATCATTAACCTTTCTTAGCTATATGTTAACACATAATGAGGGAAAGATCCTTATTAATTTTTAAGTAAAATTTCTGATGCCCTGCTATAATCATTGGTTAAGAAATATCTTTTTTTTTAGCTGTAAAATAGTCAAGAAAATAGAAATTTTCAGTTTTTAAACTGGGCTAATTTGATACAAGCTTATTTATTTTTAAAGTCTAGAAGTTTACATGCTAGAGTATTTAATTTTTTTCTTGTAAAATTGATCATAGGAGTATTCTCTTCATAACAGCCCTTCATTTCAAACTGGCTTAAAATAATTGTTAGTTGGAAAATCATTAAAACATAAAGAAATCAATAAAAACCATTTAATGATGATTATGTTTACCAAGGACATATAAAGTATTACAAACAAAATATATATCACAATTAAACATCTGTTACCAGGTGACAACAATAGACTTATCTAATTTACTCACAAATGACATAAAAAATGCCAATTTAGCAATTTTCATCCATCACGAATCTATATGTCAGTGGGTGGATAAAGACAAATACTTTTTCGTTTTTCTGACGAGATGATTTTTATCTAAATTTATTATATCTGTTTACTTTAAGGTAGATTTTTTTCCATTACATGTGACCACATAATCATCTAAGTAAGGTTGCAATATTAATATTATTATCCTCATCATCCCGAAAGTATTTTTGTGTTTATGATAAGCTTAAAAAATGTAGAGACATGATTGAACAACAATAAAAATATCTCACCAAAGAAATGTTTTCTTTTACAGATACACTGTATGGCAAATTAAAGAATGCAGGAGGTGTGTCCTGTATATCTGTTACCGTGACAACGAAATCTGCATCAGCTGTACTCTTAAGTCCCATTCCATCCTAAAGTGATAAAATGTTCATATTATGAAGAAATGGTTCATATCTTGGCTTAGATAAGATCTGATGGTTATTAAATTTTTTCCTTGCAATGATCATTAAAACAATATTGGTGGCTCCAACATTATCATACCTTGGACCTTGGGGGCTTGGTGAGCGACCTTGTACCCTGACGTCTCAAATTAAAGGACCTGTGACTTTTAAATTTGTTCAAAACTGATTTTCTTAAACTTGCTTAAAAGTGACCTGGTGATCAGAGGATATATGTTTAAACGCAACCTTGTGATGATAGGTGTGCCCTACTGGAGCCCCATATTGAGATGGAATTAAACAAGATTCAAATTACTGGACTGAATTGGCTGCAAGTGAATTGTTTGAACAGTACTAAATTTACCACAGTGGATATGTCTGAAAATTAACTGAATAAATAGAAAATTCTAAAACAAATACACAAGTACCAACGTTTTACATCTGATTTATGTACAAATGTACTATCATCGCCAAAGGTTGACTTATATTAAAATAAAGACTTCTGATGATTCAGATTCATGTGAATTTACCTGAGCACTGATCACAAATTCATAAAAGTTGTGCCGTTCATAATCCAGTACATTATTGATGATAACATCACCTGTGTTTGGGTCGATTCGGAAAGCATTTTTATAGGTGTCGTCTGCTGTTTGGGCTGCTGGCTGAAAAATATGTTTATTATTTGTATAAAATGAATCTGATTGCAATCAATATGTATATATATATACAGTCAAAACTGCTATAAAGGTCACCTGTCTTAACCAAAAATCTGTCTTGTCATGTTACCTTCTTCTTGTTCCCCTGTTGTAATATCGTTACATTTTGAACCTTAATTCAAAGGTCATCTCACTTACAAGGTCAGTTATCTCTGTCCCGAAAAGGTGACCTTTGTATACAGGTCTGACTGTATATATATTTTTTTACCTGTTGGGCTTATATATAATGTTCTAATCTAAGCTAGATATATATTTCTTCACCTGAAATAGATAAATTAAAAACATAAAAAACATCACTTTTTATCACAATATTGAATCTTTTTATACATGACAGTGAAGAATTGCTACCTTTTTGTGAAATTTAAATGAACCAATATATAAGATACAGTCACAAAATATGCATGCCTATCTGAAGAAACAGTTCAAATATGTATCAATCTATAAAACAGTCACAAATCAACTGTACAAATCTGTAAAACAGTCACACAGACTGTATCAATCTATAAGAAGCAGTCGCAGTTAAAGGAAAAAAATCATCAATTAAGAAAGAAAACAAAATTTGTTAATCTGTAAGACACAAGCACAATACAAATCAATCTCGAATTAGAAAAATAACAATATGAGGTAAGTATGACCTCCTTGTTACATAAATTAGTTGAAAATCCCATGGATTACCTGCATAGAGTAAGTGACTTTTCCTCCTAAACCATTATCTTCATCAATAGCTGAAACACGGCCTACTGTTGTCCCTATAGCTGCATTCTGGAAATATAAAAATTTACATGGTTTACAGACACTTATTTCTTTGATTTATCAAAGTCTGCGCTATAGATTTTATGACAAAAACAAAACAGCCATATATATTAGTTCATCATAAAGTGACATGTAAAATAAATGACATTGAGACAGCAACCAAACAGCTAAGCAGAGCAAAAACAAACACCTATTTATTTTTTAGTTCATTTATGTAATAATCTCCTTGGTAAATTATCTCGTGGACATGCTGGTAAATTAATCCTCTAATTCAATTTTCACTAAAATAGAACTGCATTATATAAAACATGTAACATGACATAAATAGTTTGAAATAAAGACAAAATGGATTAGCAGTCTCAACACAAAATCAATTATCTGGTGAGACTAAAATATCTTTTTATTAATGAGTGAATTAAGTTCCCAGACTTATTTTCTTAGACAGATGTACATTGTGATACAAACAACATGCTCAATTATAAGTACTGGTCACATCCTTTATATAGGTTATCATCGTACATAACAACTGACAAGTTTGTACTTAATGGACATCATTTATATGTTGGCTAAAAGAATATGAGTTATATAAAAAAAATTTAATGAAAATCCCTTTCAATCCTAAGCAATTCATTTTAAGAGCTAAAATACAGTTCATTTACAATTAATGTAAAGCAAAGTCATTAGTTTGGAAATGCTATTTTTTTGTACACCGAAATTTCTTATAGACATCATTAGTACATAAGAAACAGAAGATTTGATTTGATCTGACCGATTTGAACTCACAGACCAGTGATATAACCCCTCTGACAATATTACCTCTAAAACCGATTCTTTATATCGTCTGGTATGAAATTCTGGATGTTCATCATTTACATCCGTTATATATAATGATATGGTAATAATAAGCTGAAACATAAACAATACTATTTTAAAATCATGACAATAAATGCTAATTGTTCAGTAATTTATAAAGTTTTAAAATGTTGAACTTTTTCAAAATGTGGTCAATGCCAAAAATATATGTTACAAGCCAAATGAGATACATAAATATTCTACCATTGCATCAAGTGTGATATATTACTTCACTGGATACATATAGGTTGCACTTTGTAAATACAGCTGATTCACAAACCATGTAACCTCTTTTTAGGAGATATTTAATATTCATAGATATTTTGTTTTGTTTATCTACTGGTTCCCAGATATGATCTCCATGTTTCATCTCAAAGAGACACAACTTGGGAATTTTTCCAGGATAAAAACTGTTAGATAGCGGACAAATTGAATTCTCAGGAAGACTCAAAGTAAAGGGAGGGGTAGTACAAAGTTTTAGTATAATTTTAAACTCTTAGAAGTTCAAGGCATATAAATTTTAAAAACATGACGCACAACCCTATACGCTCAACAAAAATGGGGAAAAAATTATCCAAAAATTTTCCTCTAGATACTATCTTTTGATTGTAAGAAGCTTCTGTCCAAGTTTGGTAAAAATCCAGGATGGTTTATGAATCTAATAAATGTTTTAAAAACTTTAAATGCAGACTGTTTGTAATGTTAACTGGAAGAAAAACTAAGTCCATTTATAAGTAATATAGGGAAAAACAGAAAATAAATTTTTACAAAATTTCCTTCTAGATACTAGCTTTTGATCATAAACAAGCTTCTGTCCAAGTTTGGTACAAATCCAGGATAGTTTAAGAAAGTTATTAAAATTTTTAAAACATTAACCACAGAGTGAATGTAATGTTAACTGGCAGAAAAACTAAGTCCATTTATAAGTAAAATATGGATAAACAGGATTCAAAAATCGCAGGCTCGACAAAAAGTAGTGCATAGCCCGGATATGATTTTTTTACGAAATATCCTAGTAAAAGTGGTACAGTTTAGTTGTAAAATAGCTTCTATGAGAAATTGCATTGTCTATATTTACAGAAGCACAACCTTTAATGTTCATATTCAAAACGTGAAGCTTGCAGAGCTTTTTAAATAATTTAAAATTTAACTGCCAAGAGTCGAAAAATATAATATTGCAGGAGTTTCCGTGGTGGTACCTGGTTCTCTAATGATTTTTAGAGTACCAGTACATGTATACAAACTGTATCTGTCTTTTTCAATAATCTGCAAAAAGATGTCTTCTTTTATACTTGAAGTCATCAGGCCTAGGTAGGGTCACCTTTTTTTCATGACATCAGAATAGGAAATTCAGAACAAAGCAAGAAAATTTGACATCACAATTGAATTTTAAACATGAGATCTAACAAACCACATGTTGATTATTAAAAAAAAATGAATCTATTGGGTAAAGTAAATAGGTAAGAATTAGAGAGATGTTGTATTTCTACAAAGGATCATCTATAACATTTTGAAAAACTTAAAATTGAGACACACAATCAATTTAATGCTAGATGAGATATAGTATTACTTAATATATATGTTTAACAATTGCACTCTTTCTGAGTCATTTCATCAGATCTTAGTTAGGATTCATACCTGATTATGTTCTATAGTATTATCTCCGTCTGCCATAATGAAATATAACTTCCTGTCTGAAGGGTCCTGAATAATAAACAAAATTATTCTTATATACTATACAAATTTTACTCAATATTCTAATACCTGATGGATTCTTGAAATAAAACAAAACTCTTGTATAAATTCTGAATAACTTATTAACAAATATGACTTCTGATTAATGCAGAAAATATTTTTGATAAACAGTAGGCCCATAGAGCTTGAATTGCTCGATCACTATTGCTATTTATTTACTTAAGATTGTATTGCAATTAGGATGCTGATAATAATTGCACTTAGCTCCACTTACTCATGTGAACATGGGTCAAAAGCATACCATTAATAACACCTGTAATGACTGATGATCATGCAATGTAGCATCTTTCCCAAAATAATTCATTTTAACTCTATGCCAAAATAAAGCATTTCAATTATTACAGAACAATTTAACACATACTATATAATAATGCATAATTATTTCTCATTCTGAGTCTGTGACATTGTTATATTTGCAAACAGTAATGAATCAATAAATATCCTTTGTCAACTGACCCTATCTCTGTCCAGTGGTGCTATTAATATGATATCAACTTGTCTTGTTCGTGTACTATCTCCCGTGGTTGTTCCTAATCTAACAAGTTGTCGTGTTTTCTCATCTTGTATAGAAAATATTATAGGCATAGGTCCATCTAAATCTCTGGCTTTTATAGTACCTATAGTGGAATCTGCAAAGATATTTGTATTATTAATGCATGTCAGATGGGTGTCTAGATATTGTTTCTACAATTATATTCAGTGAGATACAACATAAATATGCTTATAAGAATTCAATTTTTTCATATAATAAAACACAAGACTTAATGAAAGCAATTTTGACAGGCAGGCAGAGAATTTTTAAACACAAAGTCAAAAATGTAGAATTTTTGACAGCTGGACAACAATATTTCCTTAAACATCTATCTAAAAATGTTATCTCCACTTGGATATTGCTACACTTAAAAAGCATAGTAAAAGTCAGCATAAAAATAACAGAGAAGAATGAAATTCTAACTGTTTTATTATAATGGTGCAATAACAATAAAAATCATTTTCCAATTATAAAACGATTGGACTGTGTAAAATGAGTTCTTTCTTAATATTGTTATTAGTTTTATCACTATAAAATCACCCACTGGATCACTGCAGAGTTTTGTCACAATTATTTTTTATTACTGTTGTCTACAGACAATTACCGATACCGTTACATAACATTTACACACGTTAGTAGAACATCCAGCATGTTAACCATGTTAACGTAGGTGGAAATAATAGAATCCTTGTAAATAATTCACACTGTTGTCCATGAAAACTTTATTCATACATAAAACCTGTCAAAATTTGTCCATGTAAATTTCCCAAATGTCAATGTATAAATTATACTTACTTAAAGCTGTATTTTCAGGAATGATTATTGTGTTTGTAGCTGAGAATTCTAACTGTTTTGGTGCATCGTTAGTCACGACTGTCAAATAAATTAATGAATAAAATAATGAATGTGAAAAGTTACTGCTTCAGTAATAATTGATATGACTTTCACTGTAAATTATAATTGCCCTGATCTTGATTATCAAGTACAACATTTGATATTTCAAAAATTGCTGAACATTAAAAAATTTTACACAATCTAAGACATCTAGAGTTGAAATAAAAGAAAATGATATGAGTGCTAATAACATCATTGGTAATATTTCATTTGGTTTTCTATTGGAAATTTTGAAGAGTTATCTGCAATTTGGATAAATATTCAAATTGTCACTGTGACTTTCACATAAAGAACATCAATAAAAGCACTCTGTTCCTTTGCTTTTGGTTTTTTTATGTACATGTAGTCAAATGCCATATCCTAAATTTTCCGTTATTCAAGTCCCAATAAACAAATATACATATAGTTCTCTCCCAGGAATTCAAACTCAAATTGTTGAGATATCAAAGTCAGCATGAATTGGCTGCACTGTGTCAACGTGTTTCATTATTTTGTGAGAATGACTGTCTAGTTGTGAATATAAAGAGCATTCTATACAAACAAATCAAATTATAGAATGTATAAATATCTCAGACTATGAATTGGTTCAACCATTAAATGATCAGCCAGCCTGGTCAATATCTGTCTACTCTGAATCACTTCATTATAGATTACCACATGGGTCAAGAATGATCTAATTTGAATGTAATGGTCTTAACATTCTGACAAATACAGTCAATTTGATAGAAATGATTTCAGCACTCTGATACTCATAAGGTTTACAAACCCATCTGTCAGTGGTCAATGCTATACATACCACCAAACAGCTTATTACCCAATCAATGATTTATTTGTATTTAGTGCTTTACAGACAAAACTTGTCATAGTGATAAACATACCAGAACTAAGTCAGAATGGAAAATACTGCTAATTTGTATACTGTAGACACTGTTTTGATGAACAATACTGATAATGAAGTGTGGGAGGATTTATTTGTATAGAATGCTCCTTACATTTACAGTTAGACAGTGACTGTCACAGAATGATGAAATAGTTTGATGTTAGTTTCAGTCTGTGAGTCTCATTATCATCCTATTTATTGTCCTGATCCTTATAATACTTAATACACTGTAATGAATTTTATCATTTGTCGTTTTATTCCTCATGAGTGACCTTTGAGTAAGGTGGGTCTAAGAGTTTTATTCATCATGAGTGACCTTTGAGTAAGGTGGGTCTAAGTAGGCTTCGATCATAAACTTAACCCTGTCACAGTGTGCCTGTACAAATCAATCACTAGAGACATTTAGAGGTTGTCTCTGTTGTATTCTTCATACTATCTTTCTTTGTATTGTTTTGATTTGTTACTGTTAAAAAAGATTTCTGCTAGATTACATAACCATTAGCACTTGACTTTTATTGTTTAGGATATTGATTGTGCAACTTTATGCTCATTACTTTTAAGATTCTTTGGTTAATAAATTTCTTTTATTTCAGCGATATAACATATTTAGCCCTTGTTACTTAAACTTCTACAAGACATCTTCATTATGACTTTACTACAGAACTATTTTATTCTCAAATCTATATACTATTAGGTGTTACATCAACTTCATTTTTCTTCTCATTCATTTTCCATTTCTTTCCAATTACATCAAATCAGATTGATAAAGCTGATAATTTGAACATGATATGTGCTTTGCACTAAAAAACAATTATGTTGTAGAAATTGGTACAATTCCCTGAAGACTGCAGTGGAATAACTAAAACGAGAGCACCATTGATTGTCCATTGTTTAACAAATCTTCATGGAATTCTCATTTTAACAAAAAAATATTACATTACACAACACAGAAATTCATATTAACTTCATTTGTAGATTTTCCAGCTTGAATTGTCCCAGAAAGATATTGAATGTATTCTTTCCATATTTTGCATTGTTTTAAGGCTTTGTGTATTGTTTTTTTTTTTTATTATTTGTCAGTGAGTTTTTTCATTTTTTTCTAAATTTTGCTTTGTTTTTATGAAATTTTGTTCTCCAGTTAGGCAGTATCCTACCATAATCTGACATTCAACAAACAATAAACACGCTGGGACAATGATCTACAGATTTAGTTGATATGAAAGGTATTAAAACATAATATGGAATTACATTTTGTACATGGGTATTCATGACAACATATGAGCTGTGTCGGATAGAAATTGACCTTATGCAAGTGTACTTATACATGTACATGTATCAGACTTTGGTTGATTTTGGAACATTCAAATACGAAATAAAAGATGATTTTTGATCTGTTTTGTAGGGTTCTTATATCAACTCAATTTTCAAACACTTACATATTTTGCAGAGAGATATTTTAACCTGAAATAGGTTAACAAATGTATTGATAATCTATGCATAAGGTCAATTTCTATCCGACACAGCTCATTAAAAAATAAACACTAAATTTTTTCCAACGCATTTGAAATTTATAATTTCAACAAAAACAGCTACTTAAATGTAAAACTTCTGCAAAAACTCTGCAAATATTGAAAATTGATCTGATGCTATTTTTATGAAGGAAAATGTAGATAAAGCCTAAATGATTTGGTCTATAAATAAGTAAGCAGCTCTCTATAGGGCCCTAAATATGGATAAAATAAAAACAATACATACAAGATTATGCAGTAAACTTAAAGAGTTAAGTTATCTAGTTCCATGGTCATGAAACATTAACAAGATCATTTTTTTAGTGTTTTTTTTAAATTTTCAATCAATTTACTTTATTTGGAACATAGATTGTATTACCCAGTGTGCGGGACATGCCAGATGAATTTAAATCTATAATAATAATTTATTTATCTGTCCTAAATAATAATGCATAACATACTTATCTGAAATAGATGTTTTGGAGGCAATTTAAATGAAAACTTACTAAATACAAAACTTTGACAGGGGGACTGAAGGCTTTGAAAATGGAAAGGACAACTAGGTTTTTGTTTTGAGGGCAAGCCAAATTTATTTTTTTTAAAGCAAATGATCGACTTTTGCAACTCATTTTTGTTAAGGAGGTACATATTTAAACAGAATTCAAAAGAAAATAACTTTTCTATCAAAACTTTCTACTAACAAGTCTACATAATTGAAAAACAAAATAAACACAGCAGCTCGACTTAATTGTGCAAATATGTGAGTTATTTACCCTTACCTTGCGAAAGGCCTACATGCATATAACACATATAACATACTGTACATACACAATAAACAAGACAAACAATTACAATATATAACATACACTTGGGCCCTGGACAAAAGTGTTATTATCTTAAAGCATGTATCATTCTTTGCCAATATAATAGCCGCATTATGAACAAAAAACTATATAAGGGTAATGGCTTGAGTGTAAAACTATGGCAGTCAAACCTTTTTAAAGTAGGGTGACTTCGATTGTCTTTTTTATGTGCAGGATGTATAAATAAGCATCCCCGTCTGGTATAGTGTGTAGAATTTGGCCGAAAACCTAAGAAATCAGGTAAGTTAACAGATGTTTAACCTGAAAATTTAACCTGTAAGGTGTTTCCCTACAAGCGAACAAATCATGAACAACCTCTTCTTGTATCTTTATTTCTATTTTGAATTTTGCTTTTTACGATTTTTCGTTATTCTATATAGCAATTATACTATGGTCATGCTTCCGATTTTTAGACTGAAAAGGTGAAAGTTTTCAAAGTTTAATAATAATGTTCATTAGTAAACGAACAGAAGGCAAACAACATGTATAATTCACCTATATGCGAACAAATTGTTGATTTCAACTTAGGAATTGGCATATTCACATTTCTATTTAAGGGCATGTTTAATCCTATTGCAATGGCTGTCCTCATGATAAGGCAATATGGCAACTATGCAAAGTAGCAAAGTACTCCAAATTTTGTTATATTTGCTAAATCTGTCTATGTGGTATACAATGCAAATCTTTCCAAACGTCAGTCAAAATAAATTTGTGGGAAAAGTTCACGACCTACTATGCACGGTTTTGTCATAGATATAATAGCCAATTATGAGGGTGGTAAAGGGTTATTTTCGTACGTGTTTTGCCATTTTTATTTCACATGCAGACGTGAAAAAAGTTCGTTATTCACCGTGTTTCGTGAAATCGGTATAAAGATCAACGTGCAAGAAAGTTTTAATTGTTCTTTCATCGTGAAATGGCAATTTTATTTTGCGTTCTTCCATGCAGATAACACCCACCCCCACCCCCCTTTAAGCCCCTCTATTATATGATTTTTATATCTATGGTTTTGTGATTTTAGTATTTAAATGAATTCGTTGTAAACTGTCTCAGTTTTAGTGTTAGTACCAATGGAAAATAGCATTACCTGTAATAGCCCGAGTTACGATGAATTGTACGGTCTACCGGTTTACCTGTGGTCATTCGGGTGAAAGCGTCATAGGACATCGTGACGTAAAACTATTTACTTTAAAATGACGTTATTTATCCGGGGTAATCAATAATGCACTAATTGAAAGACCGTGTTTACATACACAAATATAGCACAGTGATTGGAATAGACAGGCGACGGGGAGTGAAACGAAAGTAATGATAACAATTTATATGATCCATTGTGTGCAAAGTTGAAATCACCATAATCGTTGATATATATATGTAATAGGATCAATAAGGGTCTGTATGATATTTTGAAAACTGAATACAAGACTTATAAATCTAAAACATTATTTGAGTATGTCAAAGCATGGAGGAATTTTTAAGGTCTTTTAACTTCATTGGTCAAAGTATTAATTAAACTTGTAAAAATATAAAAGTGTTATATAGTAATCTATGAGGCGCCGTTTTACTATTTATTCCTTATTATCTGATATCAAAAAATATTTCTTGATATCAAAAAATTGAATTCCTGATATCAAAAATTTATTTTTTGATATCAGAAAATATTTCTTGATATCTGGAATTCAATTTTTTGATATAAAAAAAATCCCTTTTTTGATATCAGGAATTCGATTTCTTGATATCAGAAAATAATCTTTATTTCTTGATATCAGAAATTCGATTTTTTTATATCAAAAAATATTTTTTTGATATCAAGAAATCCATTTTATGATATCAAACAATTGATTTTCTGATATCAAATAATACTGACGATTATTTGATATCAAGAAATACATTTTCTGAAATCAAAAAATGATTTTTTGATATCAAAAATACGATTTCCTGATATCAAGAAATGATTTTTTGATATCAGAAAATAAGAAAAATATCAATGATTGCTCCCTGTGTGTCAATAAAGCATCCGAGCTCACCCATAACCCTAACATTAGGTCTGGGGTTTCGGTCGTGTTTAAGGAAAGAATATCTCAGAGTTCGGCTTCATGAGTCATAAGAAGTTTTGTGTGTTTGTGTTTCTCACATATTAATAATTTTAAGGTGTAAGTTCCGCCGCTTCTTTTATAAGCAATTATTGGTTTCCTCTGAAACAGATTTGTGCAGCCAGGTTTTTGTGAAATTAAGCCCCAGTGTTTTGGTAATCTTGTTGTTAGTTTTTTTCCCCCGTTGTTTATGTTGCGAATTTAGTAAGTTCGTTAGTTCTGTTAAGTATAAAAATAAGGAGATGAGGTATGATTTCCAATGAGACAACTATCCACCAAAGTTCAAATGAAGTGGATGTAAGAAATTATAGGCAACCGTTCGGCCTGCATCAATGAGAAAACCCATTACCGTATAGTCGGCTATAAAAGGCCCCGACATGAAAAATATGAAACATTTAATTTAGAAAGCTAACGGCCTAATTTATAACAAAACATATTACGAAAAACAAATATGACAGACATGAACCAACGAAAATTACTGAACTACAGGCTTCTGACTTGGGACAGACACATAAAGAATGTGGCGGGATTAAACCCTAACCTGGGACACCGGTGTTACATCACAACATAGTGTACGAACAAACTATAGAAATCAGTTGAAAAGGGCTTTACTCATCAGATCGATACAAAGAAGAAAACAGCTAACACAGTCCGGATGTGGCAGGGTAACAACAACAAAAAGACACAAAGTACAGATGTGAGAGTACTGTCAGTTACTGACAGCTAGTTCAAAGCCAATAATAACAAATAAAAAAATTGCATGTTTTGTATTTTCAAATACTTCGAATTCGTCTATTTCGTCTTTTTACGAGACGTTTTTTGAAAGACTGCTAGTATTTCTTATGTACCGCGCCTTGCATATATCATTTAAATATATTTATTTTATATGAGCTTTTTCTGTGAACTATTGAAAAGTTTCAGTAGGCTTGATGTACGTTTTCATTTCTAAAATACCTTTATTTTGGAAGCGTTTGTCTTTGTATTAAACGACTGTCAAGAAAGTTACACTTCATTTTGAGAAAATTGGTATGTACAATCTAGGTGGGTACTAGTATATGCATTGTATTAGATAAATAAGGCGAAAAGATCGTGTATTACGTCAGTTGAACCTGAATATATCATTCAGCCATCGTATCTAAATCTTGAACACACCAGTATTTTGTTTAGATGTGTCAAGCTTTGTAAAACATTTTCCAGTATTAAGTAAATTCTTAGGTCGACCAATTCCGCCGATTGGGATTGTTCATCGCAAAAGTAAATATGTTATATTTTAGAATAATTTCAAAAATCTTCAATATATTGTCTTGTAGTGCATGGGACTCGAATTTCGTAATTAGTTGGATCGAGGTAATTCAGTACTCGTTCAGTTTCGTCAAACTGAAGATTGGTGTACATGTTTTTTGCTTCAAATATAGTTATTAAATAGCAGTGTTCTGGAGACTTTGAAGTCTAAATCATGTTTATAGAACTTGAAGTATATAAGCATTTTGTTTTTGTAACAATGAACCCTTTGTCATAAATATAATGACCAATACTGTGAAGCGGTACTCCACATTATAAAAACAATTGGTCTACGGGAAACATTATTTCAGATATTTCCTGATGTTTGGGCTCATGGGTGAGCTTGGATGCTTTTATTGACACACAGGGAGCCATTATTCATTAATTTCTTATTTTCTGATATCAAAAAATGATTTTTTGATATCAGGAATTAGAATTTTTGATATCACAAAATAATTTTTTGATATCAGGAAATCTATTTCTTGATATCAAAAAATATAAATAATATTTTCTGATATCAAAAATTCGAATTTCTGATATAAAAAAATGATGAATTTTTTATATAAAAAAATTGAATTATTGATATCAGAAAATATTCTTTATCTTTTGATATCAAGAAATCGATTTCCTGATATAAAAAAATTGAATTTTTGATATCAGAAAATAAGGAATAAATAGTAAAACGGCGCCTCATAGTAATCTCAGACCAGAGACAAAGTACCATAGGTATTACATTAAAGTCTCAGAGTCGGTAAATACATATGAAGTATTCACATTGTCAATGTATGAGACAGCAATCTAATGAGAAAAAAACTCTAATGTTCATGTTGCTTACATCCACTTCATTTGAACTTTGGTGGATAGTTGTCTCATTGGCAATCATACCACATCTTCTTATATTTATATATGTACAGATGAGGATCCAGGATTTTGTCGGGAAAAGGGGGAACGGCCAAGGCTAGCACCGCCAAGGCAATGTTTGGAATGCCATTATGGGACTTGTAAAAAGTATATGCATTGACCATATAGGAAACACCATAAGGGTGTGGGTCCCCTGTCCCTCCTTAATACGCCTCTGATGTCAATTTTACCTGACTTGTCCTGAAACCATTCCGACACTTTTCACATTCTTACAAAGCCGAACTCAACACAGGCTTAAAAAATGATCAAATGATAAAATTTTAAATAGTCCTGGACATTGTGTGATTTCCGTCGACGAGGTCCTCATCTACTAAAGAAACGTAATAAGAAAAGAGACGGAAGATACTAAAGGAACATTCCAAATTCATAAGTCGGGAAAAACTGGCAACGCTATGGCAAAACAAAACCAAAGGCGTAGAGAAGACAAACAAGTTAAAAAAACACTACATACTAAACCAATTACCGAGCAACAGTACACGAACCCCACAAAATGCTATTGGGATCTCAAGTACTCCGGAAGGGTTAGCAGATCTAACTTCTCTAGTCCCTGGCACGTTCACATTCGAGGAAAAGAGGACGGAATTGTGGTTACCATAATAGGAACATATCCGTGGTTCAGTGACACAGACATCACAGAGCCCATAACGGTCAACAAACTCGTGGTGATGGCGTCCGTAAAAATTTCGAAGGGATGACTTCAGCTTTACCATTTGAAACCCTTGGTGTTAGCAGCAACCCTCTATTTCCAAAGAAATCATGATAGGAATCGCGAGCTCAGATTTCGGACGTTATTTCACAAATGTTAATTAACGGTAAATTTGGAAGTAAAAATGCTACATACATCGTTTTATTTATATTCAGTTCAAAGAGTTCTAACTGAATACACTATTTCATCAAAATCCGAAATATCTCCAAATTACGTATACTTTGCCGTAAACCCCCAATTTTTTTTTATTAAGAAAATGTACCGCAACGTCATATGAATGAGCAGAGCGAGTTTGGACCACGTTTTTAAATGGCCTTTAAAAGCGGGCTTTCTCGGTGTGTTGAAGACCCATTGGCGGCCTTGGGCTGTTTTCTGCTCTTTGGTCGGGTTGTTGTCTCTTTGACACATACCATATTTCCATTCTCATATTAATTGAAATTGTAAATATTACAATGTAAAACAATGTATAGTCAGAAACTCTACAGCCATCCAGTTATATTTGACTAGATCAAGAGTCCCCTTTTTTGGATGAGTAATTTATTCCCCTAAAACATAAACTAAAGAATAGCAATATGTAAATGTTCAGTTATATTTACAACATCAGCATCGGCTTTTGTGAGGAAATGAACCCGTTCTTAACATCAAAGTAAAATGAAATATTCAGCAACAATCTGATCGTGTGACTTAATCTAATAAAGTTGATCGTTGCTGCTAAATGGACAAATCTGCTTTAATGCAAAGTGGCTTGACAAATTGGTAAGCGGAATGATGTATCGTATTTCATTTTCTACTTAGCTAAATATCTGGTCAATACTGGGCTACAGAAATACTTATCATATTTCACACTGTAGAAGTTTTACGTTGAAAATAATATGTTTCTACTTAGATTTATTCATCCCAACGCTATACTTGAATTACACAAAAATGGTCAAAATGATGCCTAAAATATGTCCATTAGTTCCAGTGTTCTGTCCTGATATTCAATCAATTTGGTATTTTCTGATGTGATTTGATCAGTAAATATTGTTAAACAATGTTTTAGTACATTATGACCATTTTATGGGTAGATTTCCATTCCTGCCACAAGATTTCAGTTTACGTTTCAAGCCATAAGTTGAGTCATTACTTTATGACAGACCTATAATAATTTACTAATTTAACGTTCTGTAGAACTAAATGGGTACCGTCAGATCACCAGATGAGCCCAATTTAGCACTGATAATACCATAGATTTAAACAACAAGACTTCAGTCTCCTGATAACCAATGCAACATATTGTTTTTTCTATTCTAATTTTAAATTAGCAATCACGTTGCGTACTATAACATCATCATAGTACCTAAAACATTAAAGGCTTATACCGACTTCAAAAGGGTACTAGCTGGTGAAAATGGCTGCTTTTCAATTATTCTTATCAATTGTTATACTCAAAATGTTGATATCTCTGTACCATAGATTTTTGTTTATGAGAATAAAGATATATATGAACGAACACACATGCTGACTGATGGTGACTGTGGATTGGTGAAAAGGGCATAGACCAATTGGATAAACTTTGCATAGAATGAAATTGAGAATGGAAGTTTATTTATAACATGATATTTCAAATATACTTAAACATGACATTATGTATTGCATGCATAATCAAACTTATGTTAACATGTGAAAGCAGCCATGCAGATTTTAATTACAATATACATACCGAATTGTAACACTGAGGACAGGAAAATAAATACAGCAACAAACAGATTATGTAATACAGTACTGTTATATTTCATTGTCGGTGGCTCTTTGGAAACTGTCTTCACTTTATACTATTTTAATCCATGTTTAACTGAAATAGTAAAAAATAAAAATATAACAGAGATGAAATTACACGCAAATTATTGACCAAAATATTTTATAAAATCTACATACGCATTGTTTTTCTTTACACGAATTCACAAAATAGTTCCCTGCTAAAGTATTGCTTTTCACTCTTTCACTCTAGCATACATGTATGTTTCTTTCCTATACTATTTTATAAATAGCATGAATGCTATTAAACGTTAATAACTAAAACATATACTGAAACTGGGTGTGATAGATTCAGTGGTTTGATATATAGTATGATTTTATCCTCCAGCATGTTATTGTTTTACATACGACAAATGGATGCAGCAGTGCACTACAATATAGACACAGCTGGTGTATACATTAATATAGCATTTCAAATTATACATAAAATGATAAATCAAACTCATAATTAAGGCTGGACTAAAAAAAAATGAGAGAGGCGAAAAAATGTTGGCTACCTGGAAGTCTGTTATTCCCAGGTTTGAAGTATCTGAGAAAAGAAAATTGAAAACCAAGGAGAAATTTTTTTTTTATCTTTATTTCAAACAGAAACATACAAGGACGATTCTAAGTTTCTGTTTCAAGGATTCAAGTCTACTTTTCATGTATGTAAGTTACCCTATTTTCGGTAATCCCGAATCTCATTATTTGATAATTAATATGTGAACATTAAATATCCTTATGAGCAAGCAACCTTATCTATAAATATTTCTGATAGATAAAATGTATTAGCAAAATTATGGTTGTAAAATTTGATTTATAACCGTTTGAAAATGTTTTTGTTCCCTTTTGGTTTTATACTGTTTTCCTCAGCTCTACAACGCATGGATTTTCAAATATTTTGGCCTCGAGCATCACTAAAGAGATACTTATTGTTGAAATGCTCATCTGGTGCATTAACATCGGTTTCGTTATAAATGTTATCTGACTTATTATCTTTAGCATTCCACATAACATTATGAGTGGCGATTTAACTCTCTCCATTTTTTCTACTTATTTTCTCGAGGCGGAGCACGCGACTGCTTAAATTAATGATTAATAAATAAGACCACTCGAGATATTTGAACCAGAAAAATAAGTATGTCTCCTACAAATACATTTCAAAACTCAATATTGAAACATGACCCTATCATAAATATTAGATTAATTCCGTGACAATTGTATTTTCTACATGAAGTTTCAATAGGTTAGCGAATTTGAAAAGCAGTTTTAATCTTATTGCAGGGAAACAAATGTTATTTATGCTGACACTGTTATGCAATATTCTACAGGGAATTTCAACTCCTTGGTTATGTCTTGTCATGTTCGTAATGATTCACTGTGCTATAATTCTTTTTCTCATTAACAATTATTACAAACGGAGCAAATCTGAAGCTAAATATTAACCCGGCACAAAATATATCCAACGGAAAATATATGAGGATGTTAACTATAGAAATACAGTAGGTAAAATTTCATTAAGCAAGATGTGCCCAAATCTCAAAGGTACGTCCAGACTAAGTTTCAGTTTCCCCACCAATGTTTTACATTTCATTTGTAAACATATACCGTATAATAACAGACGTCCATCATAAGATTGAATAAAAGCAGTTATGGCGAATAAGCCAACGTGTCAACAATCCAACGATAACAAAAAAAAAGCAAAAAAGTTCAATATATTGTCGTAAACATGTGTTTCCATAATATGCCAGGCTCTAAGTGACCCCAACTCAAGCAAAGCTGTAAAAACATTGCACATGGACGATGAGCAAGCATACCTTGAAAGATCATTCACGACTGGGTATTTGTGATTTGTGTAGTTCCGTTTATGCATAGTTTATCATTTAAATCGGAATAATCTTTCCATTGTTCTTTTTCTGTTTTCAATATCTCATTACTCAATTGTGACTGTTTTCAAGACTAATATCGTTGCAGGGTTTAGCCAGAATCGTAATAACATCTTTCCGTACAATCAAGCAAGCTTTACCAAAGAAAGAAAATAAGATTCTTTGAACTATTTGACAGAATGTAGTTAACCAAACAACAACTATTCATCTGTTGACAAGAAATTATATTAAACAACGCAGAATTTCTCCAAATCAATTAAGAGTGGACCGAAAACCAATTACTCGACGGTCCTCGAATTCAATTGTAAACAATACATGTCTCTTGTTTCTTGCGGAAAGATAAGATTGTGATTGATAATACGAGTCGTATACTCTGATTATATCCATAAGCAATCGTAAAATCATCACTATAAATCTGAAGCCATATTTTTCTAAGCAAATTTCCTGCAAGCAATTTATATAGATTGCATGCTGCTGTTAAAGGGACAAACATACATTATCCTACAATAAACAATATCCTTTCATTCATTGATTCGCTTTATTTATCTATATATTTCCACCAAATATTTAATTCAATTTCCTGTAGCCTCAATAAAGTTTGCTATCTTTACAGATTTTGGACACTAGAGTGATGGCCTTCATTGTTTTCCGGACATAGTTGTTAGGCTTTGGTTAGACATGGTTTATTGATGTATTGTATCTAGGACCAGACAACAGGACAAGTTCTTAATCAGGTTCAGACAAAGTAACATAAAACTGTAATAAGGACAAACATTTCACGGAGTTGACTTCGTAAATTATTTGACATTTCACCCTATGATCTATAAATAAGTGAATATTTTATCTTTGGTTAACTAATTCTAAGACAATTTAGTCTAATACACAGCTTCATGCCGCCAGTAATTGCATGATTTCTAACTTTTATCTGTGCAAAATGACTTTAATTTCAATAAAATTACATCAATTGTTTTAACGGAGGATAGAGATTTCACTATATTCAATATAATGTAAGCTATTCACCTAATTTAAACAATTACTATGGATGTTGTATTTTGTACAATGGCGATCATTTGAAGTTTAAAACCCGTATTTGAATTGAATTATTTGTAATTGTTATACTGATAGTCGTACGTATCGGCAAATTTACTCATTAAATTCTGAATCTATAATTTGCCAATATTATGGTATTTATCATTACGCTCTATTTTCAAATCTTGTTAATTTGAAAGTCGCAATGAGTTTACACATTTTTGGAGAAATAACTTTTGTGTTTTAAGTCAGGACCATAAGCAGCACACAGGGCTTTTATCAAATCGATTTGTAACATCAAGTATAAAGAAACTATTTTTTCAAACTTCAGTCTTGATATACAAGTATTATGTGATTGGTTAGAAGAAATAATGTTTTATAATTTTGAAGATAAAAAATATAAAATGATTACAAAAGTCTAATATAGACAGTAAAAAGAAAGTGTACATACCCAATTAGGTTTATTATGACACGTGAATGTTCATCCGTGTTACAATAACTTTATTTCCATTGTTGCAACAAATTTATTCCTTGGGTAAATATTATTGTTTTATAACAAAAGTAGTGTTATATTTCCTGTGTTCACAGTTAAAGGCTTTTAACGATTATTTGCATTAAATTATCACCGATTAAAACGGTTGATTATAAGTGAACAAAAAGATCTTTGATGACACATTACTTCACTAACATTACAGACCTCTCTGGTCGATAACGTTCCCACAGTTGATGCTGTTGTTTACCCTCACTGGGTTAGTTTCTCTACAAGGGTGGTATAATGAAATTTTGGACCATAATTATTGTGATAAGTATCTTAATCCAGGTGATGATTTCTGTCAAAGTTTATAGCACTACATACTTTTACTTCTCAAATAGACACGTGTTGCTATTGAATTATGACGACCATGAACACTAAATGTTATACTTCATCTCAGGACTATTTATAAATTCATGATAGTATATTGAAGGTATTTGGTTATGTACATATTTAAAACTTGGTTTCCTTTCATGAATTCTTTTGTTATGGTGTAAAATCAATGAATTTGTTGTATGATGGATAATGATTAGCAGGTGCGATGGACAGTTTAACAGTTCTGTCCACTTTTGTGCTGATTTTACGACAATTTACATCTATATAACAGTTCGCCATATTATTAACTGTTTATATTTGATATCAATCATGAAATCCAAAAAAGAATATTGTTATCTTCAAATCAGAGCATTGTAATAAGTACAATGGACAAAGGCTTATTTCATCTGAAATGTATTGATTAAAATTTAGAAAACTTAATTAAATTTTTCACCACTTACAGTTCAAGTATCTTATTTCCAATTTGACATAAAAATAACAATACTATACAGGTGTGCTCAAACATGCATTGTAAAACAACGTTTTTTTGAAGTACCCCAGGAAAAAAGATCGCAATCTTCTTGTTGTAAACTTGTAGGGTTAAAAAATCAGTTAGCAAATCAAAAAGTGTAAATGTTAAAATCAGTAAAAACCTTTGGGCATAATATAGAGAATGTTTCTGTTATCTTTCCATGATTTACAATCGGGCATAAATAACGTGGTAACATTTACACAATAACATTGAATATGCTTTTTATAAAAAAAACCACGAATATATTAAGGCTTAAGATTCAGAAAATTACAGATACGGAAATGCGATACGAATAGACACCAACCATTAGATAAGAAATAGATAGATACTTTCTGAGTCTATCTAGTGTTACTGGTCATCTTTCTAGCAGAAAGTGAACGTACTTTGAATTACATCTTATCAATAACAATTATTAAATCTTTCAAACGTAAACAGCCTACAGAATATTTGCAGTTAAAACTTTAAACAGAGATTTGCAAAATCATTCCTACTGGCAGCTAACCCAGTAGAGTGATATATAGCCCCACGAGAGTGATATATAGCATTAACCCTATGGGAGTGATAAATAGCTATGCATTCAGATTGCATGTTTGTTATCAAACATGGAATGCAACATTTATAAAGACGAGCAAAACAAAATCGATCACAGTATCATACACGCAGAGAACAGATCAAGTTATGTAATGGACAATGTCACTAATTGCACGTAAAATGTTGCCATCGAATCCCTATCAAATTCATTCTGCCATGTTACATCCAAACCA